CGACCTGGCCATTGCTGCGAATATTGAGTCGTCATTACTGCTATCCTCTGCCCCAAATGACCCCGGGGGATGATTGGATTTTCGCTTCTTTGGCTTAGGAGGGGAACAAACCTTGGCTGAAGGCGAACGTGATCTTTTTATCGTTCTGGGGCTTCGGAATCTGGTCGTGGCAGGAGTCATTTTCGCTGCAGTGCCTCGAGACACCGTCAGCTGTTTCTGCAGCTGGTCTCGTTCTCGGGAAAAAGTTTTAACGCAACTCTTGTAGTTGGCAACCTCTCTCTAGAGTACCGACACTTGTTTCGACAGTGCTTGGGGACTGCGAAGTGCGTCCAACTTGGACTCCAGCGACTTAATCTCGGCAGAAGAACTTTTTACAGCCTCGTTGTACTGGTCCTTCCAGTACTTGATCTGGAACCGGGACTCTTCCACTTCCTGAGAGTTGTCCACCCGTTGGCCGAGTGCATCCCGGTACTCGGCGATAGCCAAATGGTCTACTTCATGTTCGTGGACCAGATTTCGGACCCAAGACTGTATCCGGGGCGCATGGGTCACCTCGAATTCCGTGATGTCGTCTACGCGACGCTGTAATTCCGCGGTCCGGTGATGTTCCATCTGGTAGGCCCGTTGAAAGACCCTGTCATCCTCAGCGAGGGTCTCCATGGACTGTTCCACCGCGACACGTCAAACTTCTCAAGCTTGAGAGACCTTCAGATAATTAAGGGGGGGGGCTCCCCAATAAGGTCCACGGTCGGGGCGACCTCGTCAGGATCAGGTTCAGGAAGCGCGGAAAGAGGCCAACGGTCAGTTACTTGGAACCCGGTGAAAAGATTACGAGAAGTCACTTACGGATACTAGACTTTTGAGTTGGTGAACGCAATCACCCAAACGACGCAGGGTCACTTACTGTTGATTCGAAGAGTCTGGACAAGAGTGCACGGGGTCTTACCACAGTTAGGAAGACCAGCGCGCAGGGGACAGCTGTGGTGAAGTGCCAGGGGAAATCAGAGCTTAAAGGGAACGGGAACAGAGAGCAAGAGAATTTCTGGTCACTCCCCCGAGGGAGTGACCACGACACGGCCTCGCAGATCTACAACCTCACATCAGGCCCCAGTCTTATTAAGAATATAAGGACCCAGACGTGCGGAGCCAGCACAGGCCCCAGGATACAGGGTCCAGGGTACCAGGGTACATGGTCTAGGGCCCAGGGTACCAGGGCCCAGGGTACAGGGCCCAATGCCCGAGGGTGCAGAAACGGTACACGAAATCTCGAAGATTACAGAAAGTGCAGGTACCAAGGAGCCAGTTCTTCCTTCAAGAGTCGACACGTGGCACTATCCAGATCAAAGGATTCGGGTTAGGCAAGAAAAAGCATACAAAGTATAAGATAAATAAACACACTCGAATTTGCTTTACACGTGGCAGCTCCAAGCGCCTCCTCTTAGCTTATACGTCGCTCCACCTCTTCTGGGCGGGATACTCTTTGGCAACCCGACGTCAAGTGAGGTGACGGCTCAAGCAACGCAAGTTGAACCTCAGGATAGTTGGCCTGAGGTGTCAAGTAAGTGTCAAAACACCCAGCACCCGTTACAGGAAGCGGTTTCCCTACGGGGAACAAGAAAAGAGGTCGAAAGGCCACGAAACCGTTAGCCACCGAAGGGGTACATAGTACCAGGTGCACTGCTCTCGACCCAGTCGATTGAGCTCAAGAAACCCTGGGCCCGAGTGAATTATATCCACTCGTGGCCCCCAAGTCCCTCCATACAAGACCAAGTCTTTAAGTCTTCTGTGTCTAACGAGGAGCAAGACCAGCCAAGCCGACGGGTACACAAGGTGAGACCCAAGGTTGACGCGACACGGTATCGGGGTACCCCCTCCGTAAGTCGGCAGTCCGGCGCTATGTTGTTTGTGGTTCTCTCACGTTGTTTGAGAATCCACTCCACCACATAGTTGTCCACAGTCATGCGAACATGGGTGGTTGGATACCAAGAGCAGTGTTGCTCACTAACGAGCAGTGCTCGAGTGCATGCGCACTTATAAGCTATATGTTAATGCATCTAAGTGAATCTTTGGTGCTGAAGAGATTTCCTTTTTAAGGTGCCCTATTGGGAAAGCGAGGCCTCAGAGCGGATCTCGCTAATGTCAAAGCCATAGTAGATTGGCCAGTTCCACAGTCCCAGAAGGACTTGCGTTAGTGTCATGAACTTGCCAATTATACAGCGAGAATTACGCAAATATGGCTTGGGTCATTCTCAATCTCCTTGGAAAGACCTCGAATGGTTGTTAGCAGTAACCTAAAAATCCATCTAATGCGGTGAAAGGGGAATGTATTTTTCATGCTTCAAACCTGACTTTGCCGAAATCTGATCGTTCCTTTAGTGTCGTCTGTGACGCGTCAGGTTTTTCCATTGGCAGTGCCCTGTTCCAAATAGATAATGAAGGACGTGAGCGTGTGATTGCTTTCGAATCTCGCCAGCTAAAGGCTGCGAAGAAGAACTATCCAGTTCATGACAAAGAGCTGCTTGCGATGAAGTGTGCTCTTGTCAAATTCAGAGTTCATCTGCTTGGCTCGAAGCCTTTTGTGATTTATACCGATCATGCGTCTCGAAGCACTGCGACTCAGTCGCCTCATTTCTCGCAGTGATTGGCCCGCTGGATTCTTTGCTGATTAAGTTTGAGGTGAAGTATCAGCCTGGTAATCAAAACGCTTACCTGATGCGTTGTCACGTTGACCTGATTATGAGCTTGCTCATGTTACGATATTGTCGTCGATCACGAATCTTATTCGTGCTGCATACGCGTAAAGATGAGCACTACGTAGCTCTGCTACGTGCCATTAACTATGTAGGTGTGACGGGGTGAGCCTGTTACATAATATTGACACTTATATGAAGTGTCAATAAAAATATTATTATAACTAATAATATTTTTGACAATATTACCTTTTCTTATAATATTGTTCCGAGATCTCCTTGAAGTTGGAGATGCCCTCTCATTGGTTGATATGGGCCATTATATCAACCAACGCGCTGACCAATGACCGATGGACGCGCGCAATGAGTGGAGGGCAAGTTGTCAACATACATAGTTGTAGTTTAATATAGTTAACATAGGTTATAACAGATTAGTTTTATTAAGATAGTTAACTATATTAAATACAGTTTTCTTTTCCTCTACTTCTAAGCGTCGTTTAGAAGTAAAGCTTCCTCTTCCTCTTGTGTAAGAGAGGTAATTGAGGCACCTGCTTTCACTGTAATCAAGTAGACTATAATGTAATCAGTATAGTCGGAGGGTGCCCCATTACAGAAGGGGCTCAAAATTTGGACCATAAATTGTCGGCGCGGCTAGTGCGAGCCTTCATCGATATTCCATCGATCAGGAGCTGCTGTACTATTGTACAGATGCGTGGATCCACTATGCGTTGTGGTTCCTCATGACGAGGATCTCAAAAATCGTATATCGATGACCGCCAATGGTGGTAACTTGGGTCGTGAAAAGATCTATGGCTCGGTATGTCAAAGTTATAGGTGACCTAATTGTGCAAATGGATGAGCATATAAGTGCGTACATGTGAAACGTGTCAACGGATGAAACTCCCGCCCCATTCGGCGGCGCCTCTGGATAGCTTTCCTATTCCCATTTCACCTAATGCTGTCAGCTTATCCAGCGCGAGTTTTTGCGGCTCAGAAAGGTGAGAAGACTCTTTCTCCTCACAGAGGGTCAGTCGTTACGACTCAGGTGTAGGATTGACTACAAGTGCTACCAAGTGTAGAGGAGCTACGCAGCTCTCTTAGTAGGAGGAAGACTTATACAGGATTAAAGCCTCTTTGTTTCAAGGAACTAATAGAGCGACTAAGAAGTCTACCCGTTCTAAGGAACTAGGAGCTACCCCTCGTCAACAAGCAGCTTACAGCTTAGCAAGCTGTACAGCTTAAGGTTCAGAAATCAAGCGCGCAAAGTGCACTAGAGAACAAGCCTTATAAAGCCTTATAAAGGCTTTGTGTAACGGGGTTACACGACGGTTGTAGCGTCTTTCCAAGAGTTTACGGTTGAATTCCCTGTTTATTGCATATAATGCATTTTGATACTTCTCTTTAGAGAGGTATTAAGTATGAGCGTTAAAGATACGGTATTCGGTAATACCGTATCTTATCGATTAGGATTCGATAAATCCATAACGCTGTACTAAGTACATCATACACAAATGTTTAGACGATACGTCGTCCAATAGCAAAGTCTGCATATAATAATTACTATTATAGTAATTAAACTAGTGTAGTGTACTTAGAGTAGGACTATTCATAAAATCTTAAAGCATAAATATAATCAGTTCTCATTTTAAGTTTAAGATCGCAAGTCGTTCTGACTTGTTCTCTTGTGCACTTCATGCATTGGTTCTCTGATCCTCTAAGCTTATTGCTTGTTCTTGCACTCTGTGCGTTGGTTCTCTGAACCTCAAGCTTATTGCTTAACTGACAAAAAGTCTCTTTCCTAGTTCCTTAGAACAGGGTGACTTTAAGTCGTTTAATTAGTTCCTTAGAACTAAGTGGCTTTTAGCCATAGCTCTATTTAGTTCTCTAAAACTAAGAGGCTTCCAGCCTAAAGTCTTCCTCTGGCTAAAGAGCTGTGCAGCTCCGCTACACTTTGACTCTATAACTCAAATGAGAATTTGTGCAATAAGATGTAAGAATAAACCTATTCTAAGTACCCTAATAGTAATTGTAACATGCAGTATCCTTAGCAATATCGGTTATCGAACCAAATCGATGAGGTACGGTACTGCGCCGATACATTAATTTAACGCCCAAAATTAAAGAGGTGGTCACTTGGTTGACTAACTGTAGTTTCACACTATATCGAGCCCGGTTGCTTACAATAAACAAGACAAAAAGGGTGGAAAGGTCACGCAATTAGCTCTACATCACACGATATGCTAACTCTCGACATGAACATTAGTAGGCAGATCAATAACTCAACTAGTATCTTGCAGCCTACAAATTTCTCTAGACTAGCATTGGGCTGCTCACGACCGAAAAGCCTGTAGCCACACCGCCCTCGTCAGTGCCCGAAAGCTTCGTGCGCAACAGATGGCCCGCGTGTTTGTTGATAATCTCCTTTCCTTCGCCGTCGAACAAACTTGTAATGAACATACCGAGCTCACTGATGGTACAACCACTTGATGAACAGCTATTGCGGACAAGGACGGCGGGATTCTCCTTGGGGAAAATTCGCTCCATCAAGATGAACGACTCTAGTTCGGCAGGACTCATCTTTTGGATCGCCGAGGCGACATCATCGCCATACAAGTTGTTGCCTCCACCCTCGCGCTGCGGCTTCAGTACGTACATATGCGGGTTAGTGATTGCCATCTTCTTGACATCTTCAATGGTTGGTGAATTTCTTTCGAGTCCGTAGAGACCAGCAAATGATTGTTCTAGCTGCAAGGCTTCTTCTTCAGCCACAAACCGACGAAGAACTGCGGGCTGCGCAAGCACTTGCTGCACCTTTTTGGTGCCAGCTAAGTGATAAGCTATAGACGGACACTTAATGGCGTACGACCGCTCGATAATCGTTCGACCAGCCCATTCTTGCTCAGTAGGATAGTCATTCGGTGTGTACGCAGCGCGAAAATACGCGACAGCAACTTCACGTCCGTCAAGCACGAGCGTGCGCTTGCCATCGCGCTCTACCAACTTGCCACACGCGTCCACGTCAGCCAGTGTTAGGCGCAGCACGCAAATGCCGTGGTGCTCCCACAGGTTGTACTCGAGCCAGCGTTGGTCAATGGCGTTGGCCTCGTTAGGCTGCACGACGAACATTATTACAGCGCTGGTGGTTGTATCACCAGTGTAACAGCACAAAAGGTCGTTAGCGACAAGTCACATACATTCAAGAATAGCCAACGAGCGCACTTTTTGACGCCATAATGTTTGTGTGCAGCTGCGAGCGCATTCGGTAGCTCCAAAATTGTATCGTTTTGCGGCAACCCTTTCGAATAATCACCCGATGTGATACCGTAATGCTTCTCCAGTGCCGAAATGTCTCCAAAACGATTGACCAGGAAACTGTTTGCAGTAAAGTCAGATACAGAAAAACAACTGTCTACTATCTCATCAAGACCGACCTGTGCATGCTTGACACGAGAGAACTGATACAGCCAAAGGAAGACGAGATAGTATTGAGCTCTACCTGCAGCAACCGCTGCGAGTCACTTGATTTGTCGGTCTGAGGCTCATGTAGCATGTAGTCTGAGCGGTGGATACCTAGATAGGTTTGCTGCTGAACGCCTTCTTTCTGTACCAGTCTCGAGAGCTCCAGTAGTCGTCCTGTAAATGCGTCTTCTGCAACGACACTTTGTACGCAACTATGTAGCCACTCAACGTCACGACTCACACGATCGACTAAACGGCCGTAAATAGGCGACAATTCCATGCCGAGTTCAAATTGTTTCCTAGGAAACTGCACTGGATAGTATCAGATGACCATCACTCTTTGTTACACCTTTACATTCATTCATTATGGACGTAATTACCTGTATGGGAAGTAAACAAAAGGGAACATGGGTAAAAGCAGACGATACGTCTTGAGGTTTGCTCTGGTCGTGCAAACTGACTAACAGTCCATGTGATGCCGCATATGCAATCGCCTGCTCCTTTAATTCGATAAATTGCTCGTCATTGAGACCTAGAATAGCGCCGCTCTCTTGCTTGTTCACCGTATGCGGCGTCGCATTTACTGCAGCCAGAAGATCAGCCATGACTTACGACGATTTAGAAATGCTCATAGTTTCTAACCTACGTGGTCATTTTGAACTAATATGATTGGCTGCTATTCTATAATTGACAATGATTGGCTGTAATGGCGTACATGATATTCTAAACATTATACTTAAAGACTTATCAGGAGCGAAATTGAGCTATTATAGCATTGTATACGGAAGGCAGAGTCCACGGTATAATCCAGCATGACTTCTTCTTTATTGTGGCCACTGACTTAGTTCACGCTTTTGTTGGCGTCATCGATACAATGTCCCTGACAAAGTTGTTATACCTGGTCGAGAGCAAGCTTTGGTGGCAGTCAGACATAATTTATCTCTTTTGAATCTCTGAAGCACTTTAGCCGAAGGTTTGCACACTCGGAGCGCTCGGTCAATGGCAGCTCAACATTAGTATTGTGCCACGGCAAAAACGGGCTCTTTCGTGCTTCGTGTACTGACAACTTGCTTGCACAATGCGTGCGCCACAAATGCTACAGGCCTTTTCGCAGCATCAGCTGTTGCTTAAAACATCCGGTATTGTTGGCACCGATAGACATTTGTTAGTCACACAGCAAAATGAAACTCACCAAACTTGGGCCGTCGCGTATATTAGCTGTTAAAGTAATGCAGCATGTGCAAAATAATGGAGAAACCCATGTAAAAGCAAAAGATCATGAACCCGTAGCCTGTTCCAACCTTTTGCGTCTGCTCCAGGATGCGGTTGCTCTGTAGACAAGACACCATTCAATCGCAATTGTGAGATGAGTAGGACCAAAGGAACATGTGTTTGACATCAATATCTCACCTGAGTGACGTTGGACTTTGTCTCTTCAGCGTGGTACTGAATAAGCTCGATATCTGTCTGCTGCTCCATTATTTTGTCCGCGAATTGACCCATGAGGCTAGAAATCTCGGCCATTTTTGACTCCATCTTTCTGTAAACCACAAGCACGACAGCACGTTAGCTGCAATAGTACATGTAAATGAGTAAAACAACTACTGCAACAACCCACTTTGCGTCCTCAAAATGTTCTTGGAAGTGTCGATGTAACATCAAATTTTCAGCGCGGAAACGCCGGTCTTCCTCTTCCGTAAGCTTCAGATCCTCGCTTTTTGAGGCAAATATCGGTCCTTGCTGCTACAGTACAATATTTTCACAACAGAGTGATTAATAAATCACAGTATCTGGTACATCAATTCAGCACTCACCCGAGTTTTTGACACCGCTTTTCGAGTTTCGAATGTGCTGTGCTGAGATGTTAACTTTTGCTTTACTGGTGACGCAGCCATTGGTGGTGCAGAACTAGCACGGGGTGAAGCTGTCGACAATTCTATTGACGCGGGTAACGGGAGTTTGGGAGCTTCAGCTTTGTTTAAGAATGTGGCAGCAGCTTGTTTCTTTGTAGCTTCCGTTTTGCTCATCTGAACAATCTTCTGCTCCAGTTTATCCAAGTCTTGTCGCTCACATTCTGGTAGTAAACTTTACCAAGCCCCTCCAACGTTAGTCAGACTTTTTCAGTTGCGGAATGAAACACTGCATCGACAAGTTTAATTCAAGAACAAACTTACCGCGGCAACAACAGAAAAGGCTGTTGGTATCTTTTCTTTTGCATCTGCTTAGCGCTGTCTGCAATACATTTCAAGCGCTACAAAAACACCCGCATCAACCACACAACACAAGCTAAGGTCTCCCATCTTTCGTAGCTCAGCCACAACTTCCCACCTCGAACAAATACGCCACCACTTCTTTCTGATATTCCTCTACATTAGATACAGCAGCTGTGTAGAATAAAAGTAGTTATAGGAGTAAACTCTCACCCCAAAACTCGATAGTCGTCTACTTCTCACTTACAACTCACCTTGGACCTCCTTCGCCGACTTCAAAGTATCAATTCTACTGCTACAATTTTTAATAAGCTCCACTAGATCCTACAGTGGCATAAAAGCGTCATCAGTATATGTCTAACGAATGTATCGAAGTAAGTTTTCACGTACAGCATCTAGCTCATCCTTGTCCTTTTCACTCATACAAGACCCTTTGATCCGGACAAAGCGCTTGGGTAGCAGATATTGAGGTTTTACTCGATGTACCAATTGTTCAATTTCTACTAAATTGCTTAACTAACGTAATAAAGGTGGACAATTAATTTATAGTAAAGAAAAATTATAAAAATTAGAATTATTGACTTGCAAAACTCAGTTTTTGATCGAAATTTCGGGACTATACACGTACCAGATTCATTGCTTCGATGACAAAGACACTGGGTTGTTTTGAGACGGCATGGGAGCGTATAGGAGCCAATTCTCGAAAGCGCGAGGTCACATCTACACGCATATTGCTTTCAACACGGCGAAACTAAAACAATCACTTTGGATTGGCTTAAAAGATATTTAATAGGGTTAGCCAATCACATGACGACATCGTGTAAACTTAACCAGGTCAAAGCGAGGGGGGGAGGCACCTATATCTCAACATTCCCTTGTCTATTTTCGAATGTATCGATTAGCCAAAGAGTGATGGTCATCTGATAATAGTCAGCGCAATTCCACTTCAAGCTTGGGCTGCAGGTAGAGCTCAATACTATCTCGTCTTCCTTTGTCTGTATCAGTTAAGCAAGACCTGCCGCAGCCGAGCCTTCTCCGCTTTAAGTTCTGGAATCTATGCAGACGTCACTCCAACATAAAGTCGCGGTTTCTGAGGCCTTATTACTCTAAAATCTCAGTGTCGTCATCTAACCTTATGTTAGCGTCTGGTCCTAGAGCATTGCTCGATCGAAATGGGGCATGAGCTCTACTCTTTGTATCGAAAGCGTCCGAGATGCGTGTGATACTCTTAGGTATTGCTTGTGTCCTGATCACGCTTGCACATGAAGAAACTACCAGGGAGGCAACTAGCGCTTTAAGGACAGAAGAAATTTGACAGACATCTTGGAGGTGGCCTTGCAGAAATTGAAATTTGATGGACCTAACGCTCCACCTGTTCAAATGCAATTGCTCTCCTAAAATGGTGACCCCGTGCAACTTGACAGCGAAAAAGAGCGTCGTTCCACTTATCGGAGACCAGCTCCATCGATGCTTTTCTCTTGAAGTGGATACGTTATGGCGCCATTGGTAAAATGTGTTACCTATAGCTAAGTTATATAATGGTGAAGAATCTTCACGTTGGCAAGGAAACACCCATGAAGTACTCTGTGGGACCACGAGGACCCGATTGCTGGCATGAACCAGATCTTGTCTTGATTGTTTCCGTTCAAAGAGGACGGTGTCACTCGTACTGGGTGCCTGACGTCTGGGCACTGTGCACTTTCCTCGACAAAGGTATTTGTGATCCTCGGCTTTCCTGCCTCAAAGGTTTTGGGATCCTCGGCTTTCCTGCCTCAAAGGATGGCATTGCTCTTATGAGTGGCGGGATCGTACAGGAAGCAAGCTTCGCGGTGCTGCCCACTGTGTCACCGCTGGTGTGTACAGCGCTGACGTTTGCCATGATGACGCCGGTGTTACGGAGTATTTGGAAATACCCGGACTTATCGCTCTTTACTAGCGCGCTTGCATATTGTATGCTGTGCTTGTTTCTGCTAGGCTATCACGTGCACGAGAAGGCAATTCTGCAGGTGACACTTTCGATGGCACTTATGGCTGCTGATAGCGTTGCTAGCATGCGGCTATACAGGTTTGCATCGGGAGATTGCGACAATCTCACTTTTCCCGTTACTGTTCACGCCCGTCGAACAGGGATCTAAAGGGCTCCTGGGCACCTGCCATGGTGTGCTAGCAGAGGTCGTGCTTGTCCCGTTGCTTCAACAACCGCTAAAGGAGAGGCATATCAAATCACCGCCGTTGGTATGTCTTTCTTTGAGCGTATATTTCTTGCTGGACTGGTTGGCCTTGTCTTGTTGGCAGCAATATCCCCGTACATCCCACGCATTGGTGCGCGATACCCGTTCCTACCACTCATGTTGATCTCGGTGAGCTGTGCCATATGAAACATTTACGTGTGGGGGTTTACCGTCACTCAGCATTTTAGAAAACTTGACGCTGTAAAGTCCTACGTTGACGCACAAAGACCAAAGTAACAGTGGTTGCAACATTGATTATCTTGCGTTCATGTTCTAGGACACTACAATCATATAGACCTGGTTTCCCTTACTTTCCCTTTACTTTCGCGTAAATATGCACGAGCAAGGTAGCACGATCGAGAGTAATAAACTTACTCTTATCTACGACAACTTTCCAATCTGTTGTTTTTTCTTGATGGAGTTCATGGCATGGAAAACGCCTGAGTCCACAAGGCCAATAATGGTGAACACGCCACCTATTACTGCGCACAAGTGTGTGATGAAGTGGTAAAACGGAATGCTGTCGGCCGTGACCTGCACCACCAACGGAGAGATGTCAAAGGTAAACAGCGCGGACGGCTGCTTATCATCGTAGCGAGTAGTCGTTGCCGAAAACTCGTACGACCGTTGCAGCAGGTGCGTTTTCCTTGAACTACCCGGGTTGTCAAAACCGACCACCTGCGTTCAAAGACAAAGACGTGATTTGAAACGGAGTTAGAACTTAGCTGGTAACTTACCACCCCATATCAACGTGCACTAACATTCAAAAAGTGCTGCACCGTGATGTTTTCGCTCTTGATAGTGTAAATCTTCTTATCGAGAGGGTAGCGGTTCGATGGTGCTGCGATCAGGTTGTTGCCCCTAGCAAACAAGTTGTTCCCTCCATCGAACAAATTCTCTGAGCGTCGCACCTGACCGAAAGAGAAGTGGTTTACAATATGGGAGATGTCGATAGCTTGCGCATTGAACGACATGTCATCGGAGCGCGCCGTGAATACCAGCACGCCAGGAACGCGATTAACACTGATACTTCCCGAGATCTCGCATCCTTCGACAGCGCCAGTTTGCACACTATTCGACGAATGACGCTTCTTAAAGTCAATCTTTTCCAAATTTTCCTTGTTCACACCAATAGGCAGCGGCAGGCCAAGACGGTCGTTATTCACGTTCACTTCTTCAGCAAAATCGACATCCGGCTCCAGACGACGAAAGAAGAGGTCCAAGAACTGTAGTAGATGCTCCGTCTTACGTGGCCCACTGTAGATATAGCGCGTGGACGTGCTTCCGTACACGTAGATGAGCATGGACGGAAAGGCACGGATATGTGCACGACGACATAACGGCATAGCTTCTGGATCAGTGCAATCCACTGAGGCCATACGCACCATTTCACTGTACTCTGGATGGTCAGGTAGCTGCGCCGCGGCGCGCTCCCACTCGGGATGAAGCTCATGGCAGAACCGACACCAGGGTGCGTAAAAGTTCACAAGCACAAGCTCGTACTTGGCCATAAAGTCATCAAATGTCTTTCTGGTCAATGGCATAGAGTAATGAACATTTTCTCCTTGAGTGTCTCGATGGACGCCTCCCCATATAGGGACGCCCTTTTCATGATTATCAATAACCACCTCGTTCGTCCTTTGCACTTCATTAGTCTTTCCATCTGTCGCAAGACGAAAGTGGCGGATATGACGTGTGAGATTTGTAAACCGTTGACCCATATAATCTTCCAAGTCGACGCTAGCCACGGTACATGGCACATTGAGCAAACTCACGTTAAAATTCACACGTAATCGATCTTCCTGGTGCTCGTCCATGACAACAATAGTCTTCGTACTTTGCTCTCGATAAGACTTCCAATGAGTGAGCATTAACATCCCCATGACAGCAAACGAAAGCAGTGAAAAGAAGCTGCCACTGTATGTGTGGACTTTGAGGTCTTCAGGTACATGTCTTGATACAACCAGATCGAGTTAAGATACAAAAATTAGATGCAAAGGATTGTCAAAGAAAGAGCATTAATTTATATGAAGGTAGAATGGGTGTAAAGCATGAACACGGGAGATATCACGCACCGAAAGAAGTCGAACTTTGTCATCTTCATGATGAATTTGCCACACGTCGACGATTGCGAACTTTTACAAAATGTGACATTAAATTGAAATATTTGCGCTAGAAAAGAATATGTTAAGCGTCTTTTTGGTGCCACCACCTCCCAAAATCAATAACTAATCTGATTGGTCAGATTGCAAGACTTTTGGGTGATCGGCATGGTGTATCAAATCTGCTGAGCATTTTGACCAATCAGAGCGTTATTAATTTTGGGTAAATTGCGCCTCCCCCACATAGTAGAGAATATCAAGAGTCATTCATATTTGTATACATGTATTATTACTACTAATATGAGTATTAGTATTTATACATGTATACAGAAATACTATAAGGCTCATCAATATCGTCAGATAATGAACGTCCATTTTGACAGGTAGCTTAGCATAAGCGTACAATGAACGTCTTGGTTGGCACCAAGTTCACAAACCTCCAAATGCATGATAACTTCTTCATGTAAACTTCTTCAAGCAGCAAGCAGCCTTTTACTTGACATCCTTGACGATATCTGCGCCATTACGTAAATCGACTCCGACCTCATTCAAATCTGTTGGTGCGGTTACTGCGGCGGGTGGTGCAATGACCTGCACGATGCCATGTCGAGTAAACATCGGAGGCGCAGACGTGTGTGGAACTGTCATGAGTTCTGAGTCAGACACCGGCAAATTGAGATCAACTATTCCTGTTGGCTTGTCTGCTTCATCCACATAAGCAGCTACACCCGACACGCCCGAAGCAGCTGCACTCACATTGCTAGGAAGCGAAAGCCCGCGCAATGCGCCTATAGCACTGAGTGCCTTTATTTTCTTGCGCGCGCGTTTCCACTTGGCGTGGACTGTGAGCGTTGCATTGATGCGGAAACCCTCCATAAACTCATTGATGTTGATTTCGTTGTCGTAGGTGAAGTCCATCATCCGCATGTAGTCCAAGCCATTTGTGCTGAACGGCTTCGTTCCAGGAGGCAAGTGTTTATTCAGCAACTTGATGCCATTCGCCAACTCATCTACCGATATAGTACCGTTGCCATCACGATCCAACACGCGGAAAAGAGCTTCTAGTCGTGAGCGGTGACGGTACAGCAAATTGAAGGCCTCGCGCTGCTTCTCGTGCTCCGGATCAGCATTTCCATCACTCGTATGTCTAACTGCTCCCTCCGCATTGTATCGATCCAAGAAATCGTTGTACGGCACCATACCCTCTTCGTCTAGCGCAGTCAGCAGAGGCTGAAGAGCCTTCCAGTCCAAGGATAGATCCAGTATGTCTCCCATAATGGCACCCCATGTCAGAACCGTAATCTTACCTGATTTCTCCTTGTCAAACTTGTCAAATTCCTCGACCAAATCAGATCGGAATTGCACAATGAGCGAAAAAAGCGCATCCAAGTTAGACACGGCCATGTCGCGACTCTCGGCGCTCGCCATGTACTGGAAAAAAGCAGGTTTGTCCGCACCCGAAGGGATACGCATAAAGCAGCCTAGATTATTTGTCTTGCCGCAATAGTTCGATGCCGAGAACAATGTAACCAGCATACCTTTTTCCTTGTACGGCCAGTCAAAACCTTGTGGAACGCACTCATGTGAGCGAACCACAAGAGCAAGCTTATTCTTAATCATGAACTTCTGCACAAGGTCCGGGCCGTAAATGATACCAGCGCCACGTTTATTTTCCTCGAATCCCTTAGTAGTCTTTGGATCGCTCCAAAGTAAGTCTCGAATGAGTTGCATCTTTCGGTGTGGTTCACGATCCTTTCGGCTCTTAGGTTTCGTACGGTAGCGCGTGAGATCGTAGCCAGTGCGGTCAAGCGTGTTAAATTCCTGGATCAGAATGTTCTCGCGGGGCACACCGCCGTGCACGACGAGCACACGGTCATCAATAAGCGTGGCAAGGGGCAGGTAGCGAAAGCTCTCGCAGAAGAGGTCGTATACGTACCGGTCGTATTTGACTTCGCATTCTTTCATAAATCCAAACACTTGCGTGATCGAGTTCTCTTCATGGTTGCCGCGGTTGAGCAAAACGTGATGCGGATATAGCAGCTTAAATAGGTAAATGATGATGGCAATCTCTACGCCGCGATCACCACGGTCTACAAAGTCTCCGTTGAACAAGTACGGGTTAGATTCAGACGGCAGACCATTCTCGCGAAGGATCAAAAGAAGATCATCCAGCTGTCCGTGCAAGTCGCCAACGATCGTAATGTGGTTAGCGGGTGCAACTTTAAACTCTACCATTGTTGGATGTTGCCGCAACAAGATCGTCGCTTCGTTTATCACGCGCACTACCACATTTCGCGGGATCTTTTGTCCATTACGACACGAATCAATCATGTTTTCAACGTTCTTGAGCGTAATGATCTCGTCCAACTCGTCTCCCTGCACATACATGTCGGCAATATCGATATTGCCTACATCCTGCTGGCAGACAGGACGAAGTGCCTTTGTCTCATTCTGCTTTCCTTCTTCCAATCCAGGAATGTAATTCACCAAAGCATCAAGAAATTGCGACAACTCCAACTGCACAAGAAAGCAAAAAAAAGAAACACCAACAACTCATTAGAATAAAAACAAGCTACAAAGTCAATCGAAAGAAAACGTACCACTTCAGCTTCTTCTCGATTTTCTAAATCATTAAAGAGCTTCCAATTTGAAATAATTTGATCTTCAGTTGGTGTCGAAGCAATTGAGCTTGATGGTGATAACGACTCAGACTGCTGAGGTGAGGCTGCTGCAACATACCAACATCAGTTTGCGCCCATTCCGTACATCATTATTGCTGCTGCAACTTAAAAAGAGAACAAAATACCCAATTGCTGTTCATTTGTGCTTTTTATTTGGGGTCCCGTCTTGCAATTTCTACCAATGAGAATACAACGAGGTAAGCCATGGAGCTTTATTATACAACAAGCTATAGAACATCAAGCTTAACATACATTGAACTATAACGGCGTGAAGTTGTGGGTGCCAAACGCGCAGGGGCCGCTGCGTTCCCGTGGTGTGCTTCCTCTTCGAAGGACGGTTTGTTACCCATTTTTGCAGTGTTCTGATTCGGAAGAAGGGTGTACCCGAAAACTTTGACTTTATATCATCCAATCAGATCAGCCAGGATGTTTACGACACGAATCAGATGTCGTTGAGTAGGCCCAATCATATTCGACTAAGAAATTAACTTTGAGCCACATATTAGTCCAAATTTTAACAAAGAAGCAATTATTTACCCGGTCAAATGAAAAAAACTTGACGCCTTCCTACCTCTTGATGACCTGTATACAATACTGCTGGGCTCGCCTAGTCCGAAAGCGTCTGAAAAGCTTGCTCCACTTCTTCGTCCAGTCCACTAAAAAAGGCCTTGAGCTCAGCCTCCGGCTGCTTAGGTAGCTGGAATTTCGTCTGAATAATCTTCTGCAGCACCGGGTTCATGGACGTCTTGATCTGTGCCCACGTCACCTTTGCATCGGGTGGAGAGTCAGCAATTACTTTCTGGCTTAGATTGTAGAACAGGATGATCGATCGTAGCATGCCCACACTCTTCACCAAGGGGCATGTATAATCATAGTTCGAAAAGGCGTTCTGCTGCAGGAAATCCTCACGGATGATCTTTGCCACCTCCATAATCACCTTTTGATCCTCAGAAAGTGACTCTTTACCAACAAGTTGCACGATCTCAGTCAGGTTGTCCTCTTTCTGCAGGATCTCCTGGCACTTCGTACGTAGCATCGAGTACTCTGGATCAATCTTGTTGAAGAACGGCTCCAGCACACGCATGTACTTTGTGTAACTGATCAGCCAGTTTACGGACGGGAAATGCTTACGCTGAGCCAGCTTCTTGTCCAGACCCCAAAAGACCTGGACGATACTCAGAGTAGCCGCCGTCACAGGGTCGGAGAAGTCACCACCAGGTGGCGAGACGGCACCCACGACAGTAACGCTGCCCTCACGCTTCGGGCTACCCAGACACGACACTCGACCAGCACGCTCATAGAAAGCAGCCAGACGAGCACCCAGGTAGGCCGGGTAACCGCTATCAGCAGGCATTTCACCCAAACGACCCGATATTTCACGCAGAGCCTCAGCCCAACGACTCGTGGAGTCAGCCATCATCGACACATTCATGCCCTGATCACGGAAGTACTCGGCCAGCGTGATACCAGTGTAGATCGAAGCCTCACGGGCAGCCACAGGCATATTCGAGGTGTTGGCCACCAGCGTCGTACGCTTCATAATCGGCACCTCGCAGTCGTTAACAGTCATTGTTAGCTCGGGGAAATCGTTCAGCACTTCGGCCATCTCGTTACCACGCTCACCGCAACCCACGTACACAATTGCATCAGAGTTAGAGTGCTTGGACAGGGCCTGCGAAATGACCGTCTTACCGCAGCCGAAAGCACCGGGCACAGCGCAAGTTCCGCCAAGCACAGATGGAAACAAAGCATCAATGATACGCTGACCTGTCGTCAGAGCGACATTGCCGGCCAGTTTCTCTGCAACCGGACGCGGTTTTCGCACCGGCCACATGTGCGAAAGCCCAAGCTTGTGCGTGACACCAGTCGTGTCGTTACGCACTTCTAGCACCGTATCTTTGAGCGTAAACTGCTCATTATTGTCGGTATCAGCACCGTAGATCTTGACTACCGTACCAAAGATATTAGGTGGACACATGATCTTGTGCGAGTGCAAAATGTCGTTCTCATGGACAAGACCGAAGATGTCGCCACCTGAAATGGGGTCTCCCTCACGAAAGTTCACGGGCTTGTAGCGCCATGGTTTATCAGCATTCAGCGAGGGCACATCCACACCACGAGGAATGTATACGTCCTTGGTGAGATCACTGATAGCGTGCAGAGGACGTTGAATACCATCGAAAATATTGTCCACAATACCAGGACCGAGCTCCACAGACAGCGGCTGTTTACGACGCTCCACAGGGTCACCCACAGTTAGTCCCGACGTGTCTTCGTACACTTGAATGGACGCGTTAGTGTTTTCTAACTTGATAATCTCGCCTACGAGTTTGTCATGACCCACACGGACCTAAAAAGAGCATAACTTGGTCAGTTTACAACATATTGCAAGGGCAAAAGCTGGAAACAGTAGCGTACCAGTTCATACATTGCAGCACCATGCATATTCTCAGCAATTACCACTGTTTTAATAGATAAACACACACCAATTAAGTAAATAAATGACATCTCCCGATAGTTTTTTAATCACATGAAAAAGAAAAAGCTCTGCTGGGCTGTAACATGAATGAAATAAGCGATACGTACAGGGACCGGAGACCTTGTACACGTAGCCAAAGTCGTACTCCTTTTCATTGTCACCAAACACATGCGCCATCGTGAAATCTTTTGTCTTAACTTTTAGCCCTTTGACTGCGATCTTTTACTTGCGTTTTGAGAATAAAACCATATTAAATGTAGATTCTATCCTATTCGCTGAAATAGACAGCACTTCTTCGCAGCATCGATTGGCCAAAATTAACACTCTACTTATTGGCTGAAAATCGGTAAGTTTGATTGGCATCGACGCACAGTAGCAATTCGACCATCATGGCGGACCAAGTTGAGCAAGTGACGGCGTCTCTGGCGTCCATGCAGTCGAATCCTGCTGCTGTTCCATCTACAGAAGCTTCCGATAATTCTGCTCTTTCTTATGCATCGGATTCAAGCGCTTCTGAAGTCCTGAAACCCGCTTTGACGACCAACAAGAAAGTGCTAAGTCTGGTCATTGACTCTGGTGCTATCATTAAAGGCACGAACCTGGCGGTGCTGGCGGAGGTAATTTTGTGCTCTATGAATGGCTAAATTGCGACGAAAAACTTATTATCGGGGCTTTCTTTTCTGTCGTGTCAGAACTTTTGGACCGTGCCTGATGTGCTGGACGAGATTCGTGACAAGAAGTCACGTGCCATTTTAGAGCGACTGCCGTTTAATCTGCAAACACGTGAGCCGTCGGCGGAAGCAATGAAGGCCGTGGTCAACTTTTCTCGCAAGACTGGAGACTTTGCTTATTTGTCGCTCACGGATCTGCGTGTCATGGCGTTGTCGTACCAGCTGGAGGTCGAGGCGAATGGAGCCGACCACCTACGAACAAGTCCCGAACGTTCGCAGACGGTCACGCGCGCTACTAACGGCAAGATTGTAGGCGGATCGCAGTCTAACATTCCGTGCAAATACTTTGGCACGGCTATGGGGTGTAAGTTTGGAGACGAATGCAGGTTCTCACATGACGCTGTTGAAAATAATGAGAAAGCTGCTGAGATATCGACGAAAAAGGTTGATATTTCCTGTCGATTCTTCAACACTCCGGAGGGATGCAAATACGGGAACGAGTGCTCATTCACTCACGAAGAGACTGAGGGACGTGTCAAAGAAACGGAGACTGCCGAGTCTGCCGTAGAGCACGTGATCAGTGATGACGTCCGTAATGCTGACGTCAAGTCGCGTATCATGGGTGGGTTCGCGGCGTCGAGTAATGCCGGTGCTGCTGAGGATGACGGCAAAAACTGGATCACTAATGAAAACTTTGCCAAGTTCACGGCATCTCCATTTGGCGATGGTCAAGGCCTGGAGGAAATATCGTCCCAGGTTTCTGTAGGATGCATCACGACAGATTTCTCGATGCAGAATGTGATGCTTCAGATCGGACTTCGGCTTTTATCGACAGAAGGTATGCTTATCAAGCGTGTGAAGCAGTGGATTTTACGTTGCATTGCTTGCTTCACGACGTCTACTGAGATGGGACGTCTTTTTTGTCCCAAGTGTGGCAATAGTACGATGGACCGCGTGTCGTACAGTTTGGATCGCGATGGTCAAATGACTTTCTACACACGGGCAAACCGTCCCACTAAACTTTCAGGTACCAAGTTTTCATTGCCTAAGCCCAAGGGTGGACGTAACGGCGACTTGCTACTCCGTGAGGATCAGCTTTTGGTTGGTATTTGGGGTCAGCGTCAGCGCCAGCACAAAAAGGTAATGCAGAGCGCTTTTGGCGAGAATGTCGCACACGATCTCGGTGTCAAGGCCGAGAAGCAAACATGTATTACTGTTGGTTATGGACGAATGAACCCAAACGCACAGAAGGGTCGTGAACGTCGTGGCAAGAAGAAGCGCAATTAGATTATCAATGCAAGCGTCATTGGGTTGATCCGATAGTTTCGATAGGGCGGATTTTTTTGTCGGGCATGTATATTCTGATGTAGACATATTCTTCTCTCATAAACAGCGCAACGTTCTAAACAGCATAACATCTTTATGATAAACTTGCAGAGGTTCTTTATGTAATCTTTACACACGCTATTCGATTGGTCAAAAATCTATTCATTAAATCATAATATCCAAATTTCTATAGATCGTCACCAAGTCTCCAAGCACATGAGCATCACCAAGGAATCAGTCGTTGAGCTGCGTCACCCGTCGGGATCCCGTGCCCAAGTGTATCTATACGGTGCGACAGTCACGTCTTTCTATACAGCGCAAGAACCTACACGCAACGTACTGTTCGTGTCCAAGAAGGCGCTTTTAGACGGCAGTAAACCCATCCGCGGTGGAATTCCGCTTGTATTTCCAGTCTTTGGTGCTGCCGAGGGGTTTCCTAATCACGGCTTTGCACGCATTCACAAGTGGAAGCTAGACCAGTTGATCCAGAGCGCCAATGAAGACGAGAGCCCCGTCGTTGCTACGTTTTCTCTTGACGTCTCGGACGATATCAAGGCCATGTACCCACACGATTTTGCACTCGTGTACGAGGTCAAGCTATGTGCCAATGTACTGACAACGGCTATTCATATACATAACAAGTCAGAGGGGGAGATCTCTTTCCAGGCTTTATTGCACACTTATTTGTCGGTGGACGACGTGCGTGGCGGAGGTGTCGTGGTTGAGGGACTCAAGGGACTCATGTACTACGACAAGGTCGCGGCCGAAGAGAAGATAGAGCACAGAGATAAATTGAGCTTTTGTCAGGAGACCGACAGTGTCTATGCCAATGCCCCGTCTCCTGTTTTCGTCCGCATCAAGCGTGCGAATGGCAAAGAGCAGGTCGTGACGATCGAGAAGGAGGCCTGCATTAAGAGTGGCTCATCGCACATGTCTCAGGGCAGTGACGTCGTTGTGTGGAACCCGTGGGCTGACAAGGCACAAGAAATGAATGACTTTGAAGACGAGGAGTACCCGGCCATGCTCTGCGTCGAACCTGGTCGCGTTAGCGATCAGCAAAAGCTCTTAGCGGGACACACGTTTACGCTGCAGCAGGCCATCAAGGTGTCGGCGTTGTAGTGAATCGACGACATGAGACAGTATGCGGGGATGTTGATTATGTAACAGAGCAATTCCGGGGAAAGATTGACATGCCAATAACGATAATTGATATGGAAAGCGTGGTACAAAGGTCAGAGATAAGTAAAGCATTTCTACATTTCTGCATTTCTGCATGATTTTATTATTTTTAACTGGTATGTCCATTATTTTAATGCATAAAAAACCAAAAACCAAATAAACAAATCATGACAATAAAAACACCTATTTGATGCTTTTTCCATTATCATTTAACTGTCATCATTTTCTTGCAAGGATTTTATTAACAAAAATCATGCAAAGAAAAAGTGGGTTTTTACAGAACCTATCGAATGGCATGCAAAAATGTCAAAATTTTGAAATAGGAATAAGTGTCAAAACGTGCCTCTTATTGAGGCTATCAAGTATGTTCACGCAGCAATGCAACCTATTAGCTCCCGTTAATGAATATATAGGTAAAAATTATATACTACATTTACATTAATCTTTCTCCTAATTAACTATCACCTTGTTGTAGATCCAAATCCGGACTTGCACTCGCTCTTCCTGGTACAAATTTCTATACAAAATCACATTGATTTTATTATTGTAAAGCCGACGCTTATCTCTAAATTTATGTGTTTAAACTAAATTATAGGAATACAATCGCATGTTCTTTGAAAGTCAATTAGCAGGTTGTGAAGTAAAATGGAGCAAGCGAATGACGCTCTGGTACGTTTTACAGCTGTCAATTATTATTATTTACTTCTATTTGCAATTCACTCTTCTCCTTGTTTTTGTGTTTTTTGTGGAAATAGTGCTGGATTATGCAGTTTTCAGCCTCGAAGTGGCTTTTGCTCCATTCGGTTAAGGTATGAAAAAGTTTTATGAGACCAGTTATTGATCGAAGTCATTTTTTAAATTTAGGTGTTTTTTTTTCTTGGTTTTATAGTGAACCGTTGCTGAAACTTCGTCCTCGAAGCGATATGGTGAATACTTTGTTGGTAGGTTGATCCATTTGAGATTGTTTTTCTATAGGTTTAGTCATCAGTGCTGATAGGAGTTTGGGCTTGTGAGCAGCACGAAATGATCCATGCATACGTGTTCGTAGCGACCCCCGTGCGAGATCATGAAGATCACGGACCACTGTTTCAGATGCATATGAACCGGATTAATGAAGCAGCACAGACAAAGATTACGGTGTTCCACACGTTCCATGATGAAGTGAACTCATATCGACAGCACGTGTGGAAATGCAACGTAAGTTTGGTGAGGTAGAACAAATTACGTCGATGTTGCAGAACTAAATGTGATGTCGTACTACAGGGTCCGTGCCAACGCACACCGCCGTACTTTGGCCTCGTCAAAAGATCCATGAATCGAGTTCCTGGTCCGACTGATCGCTGGTGGGCAGATCATGAACAAAAGTGTGGGGGGAGCTACTTCAAAATTAAAGAACCAGCGGAGTTCACGGCGAAACAAGTGAAAAAGAAGGAGAGGAAACTTGCTCGCGAGGAAAAGCAGAAGAAGCAAGACAAGGCAGCAAAGATGGCACCGAGCGTAAAAGAATTCTTTTCGATAACCAGAGAGAACGGTAGAAGCGAAAACTCGGGAAAAATCACACGTGGTGATACAAATCCTCTACGCGGTGAAAAGAAGACTCGGTATCCTGATATTACCAAAAGATAACAATAAGAAGCGAAAGAAGGAGCGTGGAGGCGATAGCGGCAGCGACAGCTTGGGTTTACCGATACTTGCGTGTCCGTCCTTTGCTCCAGTCATTTTCTCTACAAGTGAAGATGAGGATGGATATTTCCTAGTGAGTGACATTCATGCGGTCGTGCAACCCTCGCCATCAACTATTCGAAAAGGCGATCAGCAAGAAGCACTACTCGGGAGTCTTCAAAGTGGCGAGAAGGCTTTTGTGGCTACCACCAGGCCACGTGTTGTGGGGTCTTCTGCTGTTGTAGATTTGACCGTGTCCGACAGCGATGCTAGTGACGATGATGGATTGGTAAATGCACGGTTGATGGCAATGTCTCGGATATCTGCAGAAGGTTTGCAGACAACAAGACCAGGAAAGTCAGACGTTGTTGAGATTGAATGATGAGTGTTCCACTCCTGACTCTTGCAGTTCAAATAACGAAAATGATCTGATGATCCTCCACTTATGCCGTCTTGAGCTCGAACCGAAGCGCAAAGGTAGCGATCTCTTTTTGATCCACCGAGCATTTTCTTTCGTTGTTAACCACAATTGGACATCACATTGCCCACCAATGTGCTTGTATGGAAAGAAGATCACAACCTCACCCAGTATGCATATAATCAAGTGACATCAATACTAAGGTCACCTGTTTCCTGACTCACTGCAAGCCATGTCCAAGAAACTTGACCAGAACAGCAACGCTGCTGCAATGACAATACGCAATGTGAGAAGACGTCGATTTCATCACAACACAAAACTTTGTTTTTCGGGGGTTTACAGTGGTATATCTGCATCATTCCTATTCGAGGACACTACCTCATAACCTCTCACCCAAAGACGATACCACCTATCGTTAGGTCAAACTTCACATACCCGAAGGAGGAAAACAGAGAATATCCATCTCCAATTCCTATACATCATGATACTCGAAGCTTATGGGGATTTGCTTGCCACTGGTTGCTACTCGGTTGCTGACCGCTTTGAGCTGGAGATTTGCTCGACACTGGTTGCTGCGATTGCTGATCGCTTTGAGCTGCCTCACCCGATTCCTTCAATTCCTTACTTTTCTTCTCCTGGGCCTTACCAAACGGCGTTTCGCTCCATAGTTTTTCAAACTCTTCTGGCGTGCTTTGAGAACAAATCGTGTGGTGTTCACCCTCGTCCTTGTCGTTCTTTCGGTTCCACACCGTCTTCAAGCGTTTGCCCACCACCTCACGCTCGTGCTCAGCTTTCAGGCGACCTGTCGAGTCTTCGTAGCGTCGACGCGTACTCATGACTTTACGCCCCTTTTCATCCACAACAGACGAGCTACTGAACGAATACGAAGAGAAAGCACGCTTGTTGTCAGCCTCCGGAGTCTCCTTTTGCTGTTCCGTTGGCGACAAATCCTTGAAAAACTCCTCGTCCGTGCTAACACCAGGCACGTTGTGCATGCTCGTCGACAATTGTGGCATCGTATTGGTGTCCATCATGGACAATTCCAGCATCGACATAGGGTGCCATAGCGTTGGACGCACTAAATCCCACGAGGAAAACATCTTGATCAGTATTGAGCTCTTGACTTGGTATTTACTTGGACAATTGAATAATGAGCTGGAGCTTGAGACCCTCTAAGAACAGGGACATGACATTTCAGTTGCTTCATCGAACATTTCTCGTCGATTCTAACGGTCCCATCGGATTGTGCCGCGTCTCATTCGGCCGTTGGTGTAGTAGAGGCTTCGATCAAGTCATTATTGATGAAGAGAGTACCCCACAGTTGGAAACGAGGGTACACTAATGGTTACGTTTGGGGTACTCTTTTTTATTAGCACGTGCACTAAAGATGACGATCTCCTGCGGCGGCGCGGAGAGTATACGCTGGTCGCTTTACCGTGACGCTACGTGTTTCGAGACTTCCTGTGTGTTAAGTGGAGTTCTCTCTGTCGATCTCATGCAACTTTTACGGCGTCAAATGACCTTAAACTCACGAGATAAGGCTTTAAACTCGTCGTGTTTTTCGTTGGAATCGACTGGAGTTCAACTCGTTCCGGACATTCAACGCCGTGTTTGGGACCTTTTGGAGTCGCATCGAGGTACTACCGAGACAGGGAATGAATGTGTCATGGACGTGAGTGATGTCGCGTTCCCAGTCGCTGTGGAAGATCTCAGTTTAGGCTCGAGAGCTACTGAATTGGGGCTGGACAACATGGAATCGGTGTTTTGTAAGCTGCAGTTGATCGTTGAAGATTCTGGAGCTAAGGCTGAGACAGTGTCCAGTATGCACGATGACGACTTGTTTTTGTGGAAGTTGGAGCGTGCTGCAGAATACCGAGTACGAGGGAACGAAGCTTTCAAACAAGAGAGATACAGCTCTGCAGTGCGGCTTTACAAGCGTGCATTGGCGTGGCTTGATCCACCAGTTGCTTGGTCAGATACTTCATTAGACACGAAGGTTCCGTACTCAAAGGAAGAATTGCAACAAGTGAATCCTTTGGCTGTTACATGCTATGCCAATATGGCTACATGCTACTCGAAGTTAGACAGAGAGGGCGATGTGGATCGTTGCATCGCTGCAGCTTCAAGCGCGCTGGCACTGGAAGATACACATGTAAAAGCTCGCTATCGGCGTAGCCAGGCGTACTTGTCAACAAAGGAGTTCGACCTTGCACTTGCTGATCTCAAGATACTATGCGACCTGGAGCCGGATAATAAGTTGTTTCGATCGGCATTGACAAAAGCTAAATCTGCCAAGACGAACCTTTGCAAGAAACAGCAAATCGCTTACGCCAAACTCCTCGACAAGTAGCAAACGACATGCAGAGAGATATAAACAAGGCGAGTAAGTTAAACAGGGAGTGGCGTGTTCCATTTTACCGCTTTTGCTGTGGGACTAAGACGCGAAAGTACATCCGTACTATACCACTAGGAGCCGATAACTTGCCATGCTGCTTCACTTGTCCTGCCTTCTTCATCATCAAGCAGCAATCATACAACCCCATGACTTCATGATCCAAAAACAAGACAAATCGGAGACGACCAAAGCTCAAGGTGGCGAACAGCATCAAACTTAAGCAGCTGCTTGCTCCTCAACGGCACCAACGCGAGTGTAGATGAGCTGCGAGTGGTGGCAAAGCACCTTCAAAATGCTTCCATTTTCTTCCAACTCGCGAATCGAAGCGCGGGCAAGCGCAGCATTCACTTTGAGACGCTCGACAATAGCCGAAGCCGTAATCAGCTTCATCTTGGGGATCTCCACCAGCAGACGTTCGTACGTCTCCTGGTCGTACAGCACCTTATTGCTGACTTTTTCACGAGCTTTAGACTTGGCCCATTTTTTCTTGCCTTTGCCTTTGCCACCGGCCATAGCGGCGGCCATTTTCTGCTCCTTGGTCTTTTGCTGAGTTTTTGGCGGCTATACGGCATCATTATCACAACGTAAAAGCATTAGCATAAACTGCATTACAACGCCCTATTTTCTGGCCAATGCAGTCCATTTGACCGAGGCTCATGGCTGAAGCTGCTGCTGCTTTATCTTCCTGTCAAACTTTATCTGTTTTATTCCTTCACACGCTTCATCTGTCAGCAGCAGCAGCAGCTTCTTGATAGTTTTCTATCCTCGTGACATCATCGGTAACCTCTCAGCAAGAACCTTCAATTGCAAAAAGCATGCTTACCATATTGACTTGGTGCTGTTTGCTACTAACGCTCCCTGTTTAATTAGCTAGTGCAGCCTTATTAGGAATATTGGAAGAGCCTCGACCAGTCACCCGATGGCAGCCACATTCCATACATCAACTTAACCGGTTACGATAGAAGGGACCGGTCACTGAACCGATTGTAACAATACGAATTGTAATAATTACAGTTCGTTATATAATTTTGTCATAGCGACTGACGTATCCGATCACTTGCTGCTAAAATGGCTGCGTTCTGGAGACCCGGTACGACGGTTCCAGGTGCTGATGTGGAAGCGGAAGCAGCTCGATACCTTTCCAAGGACACTGAAGTACCACTTGTGCAGTTTAATCCTCTCCACAAGCTTTCCCTGCGTGACCAGCGAGCTCGTCTGCCAGTGTCCCGACACCGTGAGGAACTGCTCTATGCGGTCGAGACGCACGCTACAACGATCCTTGTGGGAGCCACCGGATCAGGAAAGACGACACAAGTGCCACAATATCTAATGGAAGCAGGATGGGCGACGTCTAGGCCAAGAAGAGCTCAAGCGAGTGGAAATACGCCTCGGAATCGGGTTATTGTATGCACACAACCTCGACGTGTCGCTGCTGTGACGATTGCAGAGCGTGTGGCACAGGAAATGGGCTGTCAATTGGGAAAAGAGGTTGGTTATGCTGTCAGATTTGAAGATAAGTGGGACCCGGAGCATACGAAGATCAAGTTTGTGACGGACGGATTGTTACTGAGAGAGACCATGCGAGATCCGCTGCTCTCACGTTACTCAGTTATAATGCTGGTGAGTGCAGTAATTGAGTAGTTTATATGACGAATAATTGTGGTAATGTGTTAACTGAAGTAAATTGATACGAGCAGGATGAAGCTCACGAACGAAATTTGGAGACGGATTTACTGCTGGGATTGATCAAGAAGATACAACGGAAGCGTCCAGATTTGAGGGTCATTATTGCATCGGCTACCTTGCAAGTAGATACGTTTATGCAGTTTTTTCGTTCAAGAAAGAAAGAGAAGATGCAGGATCAGAGATTGACGACGGGAACAACGACATCACCTGAACTGAAAGATGTTGTCGCAATATCGGTGGAAGGACGGCAATTCCCTGTTGATATTGAGTATCTTCAGGAACCGTGTGGAGATTATCTGCAGAAAGCAATTGACACGGTGTTGGCTATTGACGAGCACGAAGGTGAAGGTGATGTGTTAGTGTTTTTGCCTGGTCAGGAGGAAATCGATTTTGTTGTTAGAGCGCTTAATGACCAAGCGCCAGCGCATATTGTCCCAGTACCTCTGTACGGGACGCTGCCTTTGCACATGCAACGAAACGCTTTTTTACCGGCACCGCGAGGCATACGGCGAAAAGTGATTGTGGCAACCACTATCGCAGAAACTTCCGTGACCATCGAAGGTGTGGTATTTGTGGTGGATGGATGTTTTACCAAGCTAGCATTTTTTAACCCTCTCACGGGAGTGGAGGCATTGCTTACGGCACCCGTATCAAAGGCCTCAGCAAAGCAGAGAGCAGGTCGCGCAGGACGCTCACGTCCAGGAAAGTGCTTTCGTCTATGCACACAAGAGTATTTTTACACCAAACTCGCAAAAGAGACGATTCCGCAGATGCAACGCACAAATTTGGCAACCGTGGCGTTGTATCTGCTGAGCATGGGTATTCAAGATCTGGCACATTTTGATTTTGTATCCCCTCCGTCGCCAGAGGCCTTAATTCGTGCTCTGGAGTTACTGTTCTCCCTCGGTGCTATTGACACTGAATGCCGTCTCACCGACCCATTAGGCACGCAGATGGCTGAGTTTCCAGTGGCACCGGCATTGGCAAAGGTGTTACTATCGTCATTCCGATTTGACTGCACGCGCGAGATGCTTCATATCGCTAGTGTGCTATCTGTGGGGGATGTTTTTCTGGCTTCACGCGGTTCCAAAGTGAAACAAGAAAAAGTTGCAGAGGCCATGGAGCATTTCGTGCACTCGGACGGGGACCATATGACATACCTGTCCATTTACGATGAGTTTGTGGAAAATAACAGGAGCCACTCGTGGTGTGATGAGTACATGCTCAACTATCGCGCACTTATCCGTGCTACAGAAGTTTGTCGGCACCTAAAACGATACATGGCGCGCTTTAACTCGCTAAAGAATATCAGTGTGGCGGAGCGCGTAGCTGACGACGTAATAAAGCTCGGCAGAAGCGGTGACGAAACGGAGGGTAAGGCTCGTAGTGATACTATTCGCAAGTGCATAGTCAGCGGCTACTTTCAGAATGCCGCTAAGCTACATGCTGACGGTATCTACCGTACTCTGCGCGACCAGCGGCCTGTACAGTTGCATCCAACTTCTGTATACTATCACATGGGAACTCTTCCTGACTGGATCATTTTCCACCAGAGTGTGCTGACCACAGAGGAATTCGTTCGTGATGTATCCAGGATTGACCCGCGTTGGCTCGTCGATCTAGCGCCAGATTTCTACCGCACGAAGGAGGTCAGCAGTGCCATATCAGGGAGCTCTGGCTCGCTAGGTCTACCTTCCGCCAAGTCGGTGGTGAGAAAGATCAAGAAGCAGAAGACGATAGTATCCGAGGTTGATACTCCCCCACGACATTCAGCTACTGGCAATGATGGCCGTATTCTATTTCGAAAACCGAAGCGTCCTTCTGGTCAGGAAACGAAATCGAAATTGCCCGTGCATATCGGCAAGAGTAAAGGTGGCTTACGCTCTCAATTCTAATTGCAAGTTGGAGGGTCACGTGATTTATCCCGTCACGAAAACGTTCATTACTATTGATACAGCTACTAAGATACACACCAGCTACTGGTGTGCTCGCTCTCCAAACTGACTGCCTGACCCGGCACGAAGTCGTCGAACTTCCAGCACTCGCATCTTCCGCTGTCGTCGCTCAATTGACTCGCGTTGGATGTCAACTACTGGCACACTGTAGTCCTGCAGCGACACATAGGATGAGCCTCGCTCCGAGATCTCGCTGGGGGCGACGCTCAAGAACTCGTCGAGAACGACACTGTTTTTGGTCGCCGGATGGCGGATAGCCAGTCTCAGAATCTCCTGAAAGCGTTTCTTGCGCTGCTCAACAAGCCGCGTATCGTGGCGTTTTAAATAAGTCCACACACCTGCACTGGGCAACGATGGAAACTTCAGTGTCCTGTAGTTTGTATTGGACACTGGTGGGCCCTTTGCCAGTGTTGCAGCACTGTGTGGACTCAATGGAATGTGGTTCTCCGGGCCGTCTAGAGGAGACGAATGTTTCATTGTCAATGCTGCGTCCATTTGTGCTCGAGTATTCTGGTACGCAATCAAGAGACGATTGAGTTCATTGTGGAGATTCTTGAAGGCACGATAGCGACGACGGATTGTGTATGTGGACAGGATTCCGTCAGGACCTTTGATATCAACGTGATACATGACGACGCCTTGATTATTGACGGAATGATTGTTGACGTCAATTGTCACGCCTTGGTACGCATCTGCGTACTCTGTCGGTGCAAGAACTTGACTCTGTGACGCATCGTGATCAGTCTCCATGTTCCAGAAATTGAGCACGTCAAAGCCACTCGCCTCGCTCGTGCAACTGTCGCGTAGTGCAAAGGGATCATTACATTCTGCGTAAGGTTTCTCGAGCATGGCGAGGCTATTGCGATTAGCATTGGATGGCAGCTGAAAGGAAGGATCAAAGTGTTCAGGAAGAGCAGACTCACTGTAGCGTAAACTGGAAGAAGAAGGAGCTACGACACGCATTTTTAGAGCTGAGCTATTGGCTGTATACAGCGCAAAATGGGGAATGAAAATGGACCGTGTTAACCCAAGAAGAGCGTGGCAGTCAGTGGAAGCGGCTCAAAGCTGTCGCAGATCGAACTGGGAGTGCCAAAAACACAAGTTTTCGACACGAATTAGGCAACGGTGGAGAGGTGAGTTGGAATACCGAGGAAGGAGATGGGAACCCTAAAATGGATGGTGCTTGTGCATTTCAATAATCCATTTTCTCGGCTTTAGAAGTCGGCAGGGGATGAAAAAAGAATGAAGCCATTGCATTGGGAGGAAGTGAGTTGCACGCACCTTTGCACTGGATTTCATTCGCCGGCTTGAACGCGTCCGCCTCTTTTTGTCTTGCTCTCTCCCACAGTATAGAGAAACTTGCTGAAAGGGAAACTGTCGTAACAAATATTTTCTCTTAACTGTTATAAGTATACCGATCCTATACAGTATAACTGGCCTATAATAATTAATAACTTGAGTTAAATGATAGATGGCGATGGTCTCCAAAGTATCACCTTAGGCAGGTTTGTTTGTTGGAAACTGGGTGCATGTAACCTTTAACTCGCTTATCAAGATAGATACGGTTGGTCCCACAAAGAACGCTAGAGGCGGTCTCTCAGCCAAGTGAAAGTAAGAAGACTGCATGTCTCACGTTGACTGTGTAACGGCTCTTGGTGATTAATTATACAAGACACAAAAAGAACTTGAAGTGTTTCGAAAAGGTCTCACACGTTGTCCATTAAGTTTACACATAGCCGCCACTGGAGTGAATGGATCCGCTCCGACCACACTAAAGTGTTGACTGCATACTGTAACACAATTGGGCCCCGCAAGGCGTTATATAGCGAGACACGCGTATCATATGTAAAGAATGCTCGTGGTTGTGACACAATTATTTGACTTGTTTCTATCAGCATGGAGAAGTCAGCGCTTCCTGCGAAATTACAGTTGCAACGACCGGGCAGGTTTTGCTCTTCGAGATGCCAGCCGCTGTCCATTACTGGATTGATGCATTCATATGACGCACCCATCTCACCTACAGACATGAAGCTCCCATAAAGCGTCAGTGCTAAAAGCATTGCGACAGCCGTATTATATGTCCTTTGCTCTCCTGGCATCAAAAACTGAATGCTGCAACTGCGACAATCTTAGCTTGTGCACACTCAAGCGATCGGTTAAGAGGCGTTTCTTTCGAGAGGTACCTATTGATATAAACAAAAGCAACTAAATGGTTACGTCTTTCCGACCATACGTCAAAGTGTTTGCTAGTACATAGGTCACTGCGAAAGCGCTAATAAGAACGGAACGTGTTTCGATTGCTATGGGCTGCTATTGCGTTGACTGTTCATTCGGAGGAGCCTCGACGATTGGGCTGCTATAGGAATCTGTCCGCAATTATGTGGCAGTTTATCAAGCAGTGCGACGTCACGTTTGCTTTACCAAGGCTACAACCGACTCTAGTGCAGCGGTCTACCAACCGGGAGGTCACGACTTACATCCCCAGTCTGGTTGGACACCTGGCCGAAGGTTGATTGGGTCATTAAAGACGTAACAGCACGCGCTTGAAATAGCTTACACCTCATATGAACGTTTATCTATATCTCCCTAGCTTACAACACTTTGCTCTGCCGCCGTGCAAGTACTATGCCGTCAGCCTGCCAAGAAGGTGTGATTAACGGAATCAACGATGAATTTTACACTGATAATCTATCACTGCCGTTTCCAACGAGCGTCTTGTGTTTCATCGTTAGCGAGTCATTTATAAAGCTGCTTTGCGGAGAACAAAAAACTCGTAGTTGAATAGAAGGTTGACAAAGTTCTCGCACATGTCCGGTATGCAAACGAGGTGACTCAAACGTCTTCTCACGGTTCTAGTAATTAATCAGCTAGCAGTTCGCCATGGTATCAGTCCCCAACGCATTACTTTAGTCGTAAGGCAAAAGACCGAAGAGATTAAAGAATCCGCCCACTTGGTCCCAAAACCTCCCCAGTACACGGATACACAGTTCAAGCCCACCTCCATTTTACTTAAGTATTTGTCGGCCGTAAGTATCGAACCCGTGACCTCCCGGTCCCGAGGCGTTAAAGATACGGTATTCGGTAATATTGTATCTTATCGATTAGGATTCGATAATCGATAACGCTGTACTAAGTACATCATACACAGATGTTTAGACGATACGTCGTCCAATAGCAAAGTCTGCATACTATAATTACTATTATAGTAATTAATCTAGTGTAGGGAACTTAGAGTAGGATTGTTCACAAAATCTTAATGCATAAATAAAATCAGTTCTCATTTTGAGTTTAAGATCGCAAGTCGTTCTGACTTGTTCTCTTGTGCACTTCGTGCGTTGGTTCTCTGAACCTTTAAGCTTCTAGCTTGTTCTTGCACTCTGTGCGTTGGTTCTCTGAATCTTAAGCTTATTGCTTGCTGACTAAAGTCTCTTTCCTCGTTCCTTAGAACAAGGTGACTTCAAAGTTGTTTAATTAGTTCCTTAGAACTAAGTGGCTTTTAGCCTTAACTCTATTTAGCTCTCTAGAACTAAGAGGCTTTCAGCCTAAAGTCTTCCTCTGGCTAAGAGCTGTGCAGCTCCGCTACACTTGGTAGCACTCGTAGTCAATCCTACACCTGAGTCATTAAAGACTGACCCTCTATGAGGATGGAAAGTCAAAATCACCTCTCTGAGGTGCAACGACTCGCGATAGATGAATTATCTGCGCTCGTTGGGCCCGATCAAATCGAGGGTCTTTTGGCCTAAGGCCAGGAGGTGTTAAATGCTCGCCTTGAGGCCTTAATGCGTTATGAAGCAACGCTACTCGGGCAGGTCCATGACTAGGCAGCGTCAGCTGCGCCTACACACTACATTCCGGTACCTGTGCCCGATGCAGATCCAAAGGCTCGCTCACTCGTTTTAAACGTAAAGACCTTTGAAGGGAAGGAGGGAGAGAATCTTCTCCTCTGGATCCGAGAAGTTGAAATGGCAATGGATGCTGTCATGCTTGTGTCAGATAAGCAACGAGTTGTCTTGTCCATTTCGAAGCTCGGTGGAAGAGCTAAAGAGTGGGCTCTAACGAGCGATGCCTCTGTAAACGCCGCATTCCCCACATAGGAAATGCTTAAAAAGCAATTAACTTGCGTGTTTGCACCTCCTAATCAGGCTTCGTGTGCGCTCACGCTTCTTAGCTACCCGACGTGGAATTGTCGGACTATGTACAAGAGTAGTGAACTCTCATTGCAGCTATGCAGCAGGACCCTCTGGCAGAGGAAGTCCGAGGAACCATTTTATGGAAGGACTTCGTACTGGGGTCGCCGGGACATAAGTTTTTCGTGTCCAGCCTTTGACTTTCGAAGAGGCAGTGATCATAGCGCTTGACGCTAAATTTAATTTTAAATCTGCTCGATATGGTCTGCCATGGTATCATTCAAGCCCTCTAACAGGGCGGAACCCATGGACCTCAGCCATGCTGATAAAGCTGAGCTTCAAGCTTCAGATCAGCAAGGTGACATCCGTAGATTTTACACGTGCGGAAGCACTAGGCATCTCCGCCCTAGATGTCCGTTGCGAAAGCAACGTTCAAATCGGCAGAGCCGAAACAGTGCTCCTAGCCAAAAGGCGAACACCGCAGGGGAAAACGTCAACTCCCAGTAGGCGCGGGGCGCCCTACTGGGAAAGAACTAAGTTCTGTTGAATCTTTAGGAGGTAAAGGTAAACAGGGCTTAGACTCAGGTGGTTCTGTGGATGCTCCCATAAAACAAGATTACAATCCAGGCTTGTTGGTTGTGTCGGCAACCGTTAAGGGTTTTGAGAAATCATGGTCAATTCTAATTGACTCAGGGGCGTCAGGTAACTATGTCCGACGTCCTTCCCTTGAAGGAAGTAAGCTGTATGCTGAGGCGCTAGAAGCGCAAGAGGGTGATAGTATAACCGTGCGTCTCGCAACGGGGGTACGTGTCACCGTTCCTTTAGTTCCGTTGAACTTAGGTGTGAAGTTCTTAGACTTCAATAGCGTTGAACGCTATCTTGTCCTAGATTTGGACTCGAGATATGATCTCATGCTCGGTATGGACTGGTGGAACGCCACGAGCCATGGATCGATTGGAGATTTAAAACCTTAAGCGCAACGCGCAATGTCCCTAGCGAAGCTTTGGAGAGTCATGAACCCACGTTCGCTAGGAAACAGAAGTGCTATTGGCGCAAGACATTAACTGAGTCAGTTAGTGTGCTGGAAATTGGAGTATCTGAGTTGATAAACTCCAATGTCAACAATAATCGTGTCGAGCCGAGCTCAGTGACATTTAGTGGGACGGCACGTACTCCGTTGAGTGATACTCATAGTAATATTGAGACACTGGATGTCGGTAATGACATCGGCTCTCGTATAGAGCGAGTTAAGGTCGATGACCTTGTTAGTGATATTGGCTGTAATAGCGATTCACTTGATGTCGGTAATGACATCGGCTTTCGTATAGATCAAGTGAAGGTCGATGACCTTGTTAGTGAAGTCACTGGTACTAGTGACCCACTGGATGTCAATACTGACATCGGCTCTCGCATAGGGCAAGTAAAGGTCAAGGAATCCGTTGACCTTGGGAATGATGGTATACCAAGTAATTTAAAAAGTACGGGATCGTCAATGAGACGGCAGCGTCGTCAGATGGCGGCTGCGAGACGCCAGTCTTCTGTTTTATCACGTAGTGATGCCAGTGACCAGTTGTACACCCTGGTCAACGGAGTGACAGGTGATGTAGATGGTGAGGTTGATCTTGAGGCCCTCCCATCATTAAGTGATCTCTTAGAGCTAGACGAAAAGTCTGTGGATGAATTTCATCAAGCCTTGAAGGCTAATGATCTTTCCGATATGGTGGTCATTCGACCTAGCCTTGAGTTGAACTCATCATCGCTTGTCGATGAGACAGTCCATGAAGATACAAAGGCGGCACATGGTGGATCATTTATCTTGAAGTATCATTCGGATCCCTACTATCGTTTACTCAAGGAATTTTATGATGTGGTGTGCCATGATCCGCCGTCTGTTCTACCTCCTGATAGGGGTGTACGTCATGAAATTGACTTGGTTCCTGGAACCAAATACTGTGTAACACGGCAGTGGCCTTTACCCAAAGCACATTGTGAAGTCATTGACGAGTTCTTTCGTGCAAAGCACGCGGCGGGTATGGTGCGCGAGAGTAAATCTCCGCACTCGACACCCACTTTCTGTGTTAAGAAACCGAATGGTAAATGGTGTATTGTTCATGCTTACAATAAGCTCAATGCAGCCACTATATCTGCACAGACGCCGATACCTAGAAAGGATGTTCTTGAGAGCCATATGGTCGGTTGTACCATGTACAGTGCGCTCGACTTAGTCGATGGTTATTTCCAATTGCTCATGCGAGCTAGCGGTATTCCGCTTACTGCTGTTAGTACTCCGAGCGGTATGCTCTGGGAGTGGTTGGTGATGCCCCAGGGGCTATCGAATGCCGGAGACGCCTAACCGTTTGGTGACGCAATTGTTTCGACCCCATCAAAATCATGCACAAACGTACTTTAATGACATTTTTGTCCATAGTCGAGCTGAACATGGGCGGTCGGATATTAAGAACCATATTGTACATTTACTAGATGTGCTCGACTAATAAGCGATATGCTGATGCATCTAAGTGCATCTTCGGAGCCAAAGAGATTCCCTTTTTAAACTGCTTCATTGGGAAGCGAGGCCTCAGAGCGGATCCCGCTAAGGTCAAAGCCATAGTTGATTGGCCTATTCCACAGTCTCAGAAGGAATTGCGTAAATGCTTGGCCTTGCCAATTACTTACTCAAGTACAACAAAAAATTACGCTGACATGGCTCGGCCGTTATTTAATCTCCTTAAAAAGGATGTGGAATGGTGTTGGCATGCCGAACACGAAGATGCTTTTCAAGCGGTAAAGGCTAGCCTTCTTCATGCTCCTATTTTGGCTTTGCCAGACCCTGATCGACCATTTAGTGTCGTCTGTGACGCATCGGATTTTGCCATTGGCAGTGCTCTGTTATAAACAGATGATGAAGGCCGTGAGCGTGTGATCGCTTTTGAATGTCGCCAGCTGAAAGCTGCAGAAAAGAACTATCCAGTTTATGACAAAGAGCTACTTGCAATGAAGTATGATAGAGTTAAAAGTCAGAGTTCATCTGCTGGGCTCGAAGCCTTTTGTGATCTTTACCGATCATACGTCGTTACGCACTGCGACTCAGTCGCTTCATCTCTCGCAGAGAATGGCAGATGGCTGTCATTATTTGCCGAATATAATTTTGAGGTGAAGTACAAGCCTGGCAAACAAAATGTCTAGGCTGATGCGTTGTCACGCAGACCTGACTATGAGCTTTCTCATGTTACGACGTTTTCGTCTTCGATCACCGATCTCATTCGTAAAGCGTATGCTAAAGACGATCATTGTGTAGATTTACTACATGCTCTTGGCAGTGATGAGTTTAAACACTCGGACATTATATTGTCGGCACGACTACATGCGAGCATTCATCGATATTATATCGATCAGGGGATGTTATAATATAGTACAGATGTGGCGGATCCTCCGCGTATTGAGGTTTCTCATGATGAGGACTTGAAGTATTGTATCCTCCATGAGGTACATGAAACCGCCATCGGGGGTCATTTTGGGTCGTAAAAGACCTATGGGAAAGTATGCCAACGTTATTGGTAGTCCAAATTGTATAAATGGGTGAGCACATATGTGCGTACGTGTGAAACGTGTCAACGGGTGAAACCCTCGCCCCATTTGGCAGCGCCGCTGGCTTGTTTGCCTGTTCCCACTGGGTGTTGGGAGTCCATTAGTATGGATTTTGTGATTGGCCTACCGAAAGATTCGCATGGCAACACAGGTATTGTGGTCTTTGTTGACCGTTTGAGCAAGATGGCTTAATTAGCGGCTGTGCCAGACTCGATCGATGGTGAAGGTACAGCGCAGCTGTTTATTGATCGAGTGTTTCGCCAACATGGCTTGCCAGTGGCAATTGTTTCTGACCGTGATCCTCGTTTTACGAGTAAATTTTGGAAGTCCGTCTTCCAGGTGCTGGGAACCCGTTTGGACATGTCCACAGCGGATCATCCTCAGACCTATGGTCAAACGGAACGTATTAATCGCGTAGTTAAGGATATCCTCCGCAGCGTTTGTGAATGGCCTCACACACCCACGCGTTCCGTTAACGCTACCATCGAGTGGTTCAGGGCTTGGTGGGGGAGAGGTTGCTGACCGGCTTGCTGATTACTGTAAATAAACAGGTGAACGCGTTTCTCGCAACGCGACTGAATGTCTTACGACATGTGCGTGATGCAATGGCTGATAGCCAAGACAAACAAAAGGAATATGCTGATGTTAAAGTCAGAAGCTGTAGTGATTGTTATGAGGTCGAATACCAAGTCTTACTTAATGCTAAGAACCTACCTACAAATGCAGTGTCTGCTGTCATTAAGACAAAGGTCAAAACCAGTATCTGGTGAAGTGGCAGGGATATCCCGAGTCGTGGAATTCATGGGAGTTCGATGGTCCCCTGCAGCAGGATTGCCCGCACGCCGCGGAAGTTTTGAGCGTAGTGCGCAGGGCCAACCTGTTGCGATGGCGCTTCTCATCAGTAGAGGAGAGGGTAGGCGAGTTAGCGGCCTCGGCCTGTCGTGAAATCGCGGCTACAGGTGTAGCCGAAACATTGGGGTGCTGGGTAGCAGACACATATTGCGTTCGTTGAGACTTCAACTTTCCTCGGGCCTTCAGTCTAGCGTAATCGTAACGCATTTTCCGTTCGAGACGAACATCTGCCACATCGGCACTTGCCCGTAGGGCCCACATGCTGCTTAAACGTCGCGCATAATGCGCCCAGCGGCTGAAAGCCGTGTCTTCTTCTTCCTCGATTTCTCCCGCGAACAGAAGGATGGGAACACCCTTTATGGGAGGAACTGGTGCACCGCGCACTTGCCTAGTGAGGCGTGCCAAGTATTAACTTTGCGTAATGATATGGGGTTCCACATAGCGTTGCGGTAGAGCCGTTCGCGTAGCGACATCCTCAGGCGAAGTGGCCTCGGGCCCGATGGCCCAGCCTGATGAGGACTGACCAAATGCCTCCTTTAGGCGTTCTTCCACTGTAGGTGGCTTGAACCTATACTGTCAGTGGTCCTGTAGCCTCGCCATATTCTTCGTCCGGCGCTTGGCGCTTTCCTCTAGTTCGATGTTCTGCTTCTGCTACTCGTCGAGTGTGGTTGGTAACCGTCGCTGTTGACGATACGTCAGGCGGGTCACGTAACGCTGTTAGCGCATCTGCAGCACCACGTTCAGGGAACAAATTTGGTGTCATCTCCACACGTAAGTGTTGTAGAAGGGAACCCATTGGGTCCCACCAAGACGGCGTCACTTTTGTAATCAACCGCTTCGTCTAATTTGCCTTCGATGAGATTCCGGAGAGTCTGTGACTCATTGCCACGAGGCGTCATGTTATGTACCGTGAACAAACCGTAAGGTTTTAACGTTCGCTAAAGCACTACCTCAAAAAGAGGAAAGATGTCGAATGACATTCTATGAAACGTCAGTCTGGTGGGGGAGAGTGTAACGGGGTTACACGACGGTTGTAACATCATATCGGAAGTTTACGGTGGAAGTTCCCTTTTATTGCATACAATGCATTATTATACTTCTCTTTAGAGAGGTATTAAATATAAGCGTTGAAGATACGGTATTCGGTAATACCGTATCTTATCGATTAGGATTCGATAATCGATAACGCTGTACTAAGTACATCATACACAGATGTTTAGACGATACGTCGTCCAATAGCAAAGTCTGCATACTATAATTACTATTATAGTAATTAATCTAGTGTAGGGAACTTAGAGTAGGATTGTTCACAAAATCTTAATGCATAAATAAAATCAGTTCTCATTTTGAGTTTAAGATCGCAAGTCGTTCTGACTTGTTCTCTTGTGCACTTCGTGCGTTGGTTCTCTGAACCTTTAAGCTTCTAGCTTGTTCTTGCACTCTGTGCGTTGGTTCTCTGAATCTTAAGCTTATTGCTTGCTGACTAAAGTCTCTTTCCTCGTTCCTTAGAACAAGGTGACTTCAAAGTTGTTTAATTAGTTCCTTAGAACTAAGTGGCTTTTAGCCTTAACTCTATTAAGCTCTCTAGAACTAAGAGGCTTTCAGCCTAAAGTCTTCCTCTGGCTAAGAGCTGTGCAGCTCCGCTACAATGTCGGTCCCACACGTTATAATGATTTGAGCCACCGGGCTAGAAGCCAGCTGTAGCTTAAGATTTCGTATTTCGAAGACACTAACACGCGGACGCCTCACGGAGTTGCATGCCTTAGCTGGTGTCAAGCAGCCAAGACCAATCACAACTTGATCATTTTTTGGATTTCATTTTAACAGTAGGGTAAGAAATATTCCGTCTAGGGCTTGCTCCAAACGTGAAAGACTGCCTCTCTGCCTTTCCTTTGGTGAAGGCGCTGTCACGGATTCATTTCGCAATTTCGTCATAGCCGTCGTGGTTCACCAGTTTGTTTATTTCAGAAATGTTAGAGTAGATTTGCAGGTAGGCAGCGATGGTAACTCGTCTTGTCTTGTATGCAGCGATGGTAACTCGTCTTGTCTTGTATGCAGCGATGGTAACTCGTCTTGTCTTGTATGCAGTGAGCGTACCATTGCGTTACGACTCCCACATGGGTTCATTTATACTCAAGCCGCCATTATCTACATCAGTCTTAGTCTCCATGATCGCCGCTGTATTTGCAAAGGGCTGGTAGCTTGCTGCTCTCGAGCTTGTTGTCTTGCTGGTATTGGAGCAAGGCAATACGTGTCTGCCTATATATTCTAATAACCTAATAAGGCAGTCATTCCAGCTACCTTGTTCCCTATTTCCACCCCAAATATATGCGTTTTTAGCCTTAGCAATTGTTTAATTTTAAGAGACATGACAACCGGTGAAAAGCTGCTCGCGCGACTCTCGTTGCATTTTGAGCAAGATCCTCTCATGTAAGTGTTTGTTTAAAGCGCCCCCGTCCTTATCTCCCGCTTTTATTCTGTAACTACTCTAGAGACGAGATCGGACTGCTCTTTGGCATCGAGCAGAGCGACGTAACACCCGATACCGCCTTTTGTTTGGAGAATCACAAGCTAGGCGTGGCTTTTACAGCCGGTGTATCGTTATTTCAAGCAGCCCGTACGAAATTCCACTTGCTAAACGTGCTATTGCAGCAAGAAGCGGTGGAAATGACGCAGTCAGAGGACAATGGACGTCGCGCCCAGCTGCTGCATTGCACGCGCGCCATTCTCCTCATTAGTGCCGACTTTTATACAGCATGGAACACTCGGTGAGACTGCTAGAGTACATTACTACAGACATTTGCTAACTGATTGTAAGAATAGGAAGTCTTTCGTGACTCGAGGATGGCTGGACGCTCAGGACGAGGTGCAATTTACCAACTTGGTCTTTACTCTGCACCCAAAGAGCATTGATACGTGGGCTTATCGGTAGGAAGCTGACAAAACCAATGACGTTTGGTTTACATACTGATAATGACTATATGCAGACGCTGGCTTGCTATTCGCTTGTGTCAATCGCTCTCTGAAGACGAGTTACGAACGTTTTACGAGCAGCAGATTGAGGTTTCCAGTCGGCTAGCTGAAGTAAAGCCCAGAAACTATCATGCATGGAGCTATCGCCACTGGATTGTCTTTCGACTTCCGCTAGATCTGACGCTTAAGGAGCTCAACACCATGGAATGCTGGTGTAAAACTCATGTTACCGATCACTCGGGTTGGAACCATCGCCAACACATACTGAATGAGTTAGCAAAAAAATACCAGGACGCCGGTGGTGTTGCAGGATCCTGGCAAAACCTAATTCTTGCGGAATTCAAGTTCTTGTCGGAGGTCATGGCAACATACCCAACCTACGAGGCACTTTGGTGCCATCGACGTTACGTGATGCAGTGTTTGCTCAAGCAAATGTCGCGAAGGGCAAATAGCGATCTGTCTTTGGTGCTTGTGCTGATCTCCCAAGTGACAGGGACTCTTTTGGATACGAAGCTAGATTTTTTTGATGCTGCAGCTTTAGAATTGTCATGGGGTGAAACTATGAAGGTGTTGAGCAGTGGAAGTTTCGAAATGCCTTTTGTGGTTCACGCGATTGTGAGGGAGATTGAGACTGGTTGGAGGTGTGGAAATCAGTTTTCTCGGCATTATGCCGCTTGGTGTCTTGCTCGACTTCGTACATTCTTTAGAGGAAGACATACTGGAGTGAATGGTCAAGACGAAGCGTTGGGGTACAAGCTCAGCTCCCTAGCGTCGACTTTGCACAAACAATCAGTCCAAAAAGACAGGGAGCTAGAACATTTGTTGCATTGTACACTTTAAGATCGGGACACACTTCAGAGTAAGCAAACATTTACTCGGCTGCTTGAATGAATTTGCATTAATTCTATGTTTACATGCACACGCAAGTTAATGCATTGAGCCAAGCAACAACGAAGAAGTACGAACTCCCGCTGTAGGCAATGAACGACTTCAAAATGAAAAGCGTCGATCGCAGTTTGAAGAATTCCGCACAAGTCTTACGTTACTTATGTGGTGGTAGACGCCCTGATACGATATGAGCGATGCCATTGACGATTGTGTCCGAGGAGAAGTGATACAGCAGACGTAGCTCCCAAGCCGTGCCCATACCGTACTGCTGATAAATATCTTTTAAAGTCACATAGTCCTCCACCTCCTGGTCGCACTGCAGATCCTGGCGAATCACAACGTCCACACTCTTCTGGGCTTTGGCTGATTCACTCAGGCCACTAAGTGTGCAGTTTACGGTAGGCAATACAATACACATATTATCGTACGTGTCCAGCTTAAGCAGAGCGGCAAGATGCTTCTTTAGATGACGAATCTTGAGTTTTGGCGACGTAGTGAAGAGCGTACGCTCCAACTTAGGTGCTTCCGGCTGTTCGTTCTCGTGTAGTAGCACGCGCAAGTTCACGCGGTCGGTCACCGCTGGCTTGAAAGACGGGGTAGAGGATACACATTTAAGCTTCTTGCGAACAGCTTCATTTTCTAAAACAGCACCAGACGAAGAAACGTTGTCACTAGGCGACTCGCTATCGGGTGAGCTTCGCTTCTCTCCAATAATTGGCGAGTTTTCATTTGATCCGTTTACTGGGGAAGACGGACGCGACGATGTCGTATTTTCTGCTTTTTTTCTATAACCCTGCACCACAGCAAGAACAACATCGTCACTTAGAAACCATCCAGCAGATTTCTCTATCTATCTATCTATTTATCTGTCTATCGTGTCCGTACATTGCGACGAGCTGGTTCTTGATTTGAAAGGCCCATGCGAGTGCTCTCAGTGTATGCAGTGTTTAAAAGTCTGGCTCGATTCACCTGCTGGATAATTTGATCCTCTTGACGTTCAAATTCCGCCAAATTGGGGTGAACTTTCGCAATGAATGCGTCAAAATTGGCATCGGAACGTAACGAGCGCTTTGATGGAATATGAATCCGACAGGACGGACACTCGCGCTTGCTATGACGAATGGCGGTCGAAATACAATCCCGACAAAAACGATGCAGACATTCCATAACGACCATTGTCTTTTTAATAATACCTAGACAAATGGGACATGTCAAATCGGCATTTAATTGTCGCATCGATAGTGTCTTAGTTGCCTTTGCATCCGTCACGGGAGCCCGTGGTTGGCGATAGATTTCAAAGAGTGTACAATCTTCTACGAGTTCAATCTCATTATACTTGGAACGTTCACTTATACGATGATTTGACGTCTGATCTACTAGATTATCATAGTCCTCCCGTGTAAATTTGTACGGATTCTGCGGCGGGCCCTTGGCGACCATCACTATCTCTTACTTTTTACCGCCTTAATTTCAGAGTGCTACCTGTGCAAAATCGTACATGTATTATCAAATATAAAAGGTTCTCGATACGTAACTGACACACCATGTCCATTCATCAGCCGTTTTGTGACAATGGCACCGAACCTCAAGATGATGGGCTTGACGCTGTCTTTGGCAATCATCACACGCTCTGTGCTGGACCCTGAAGACTTTGGTACGTCATAAACCTCTATAAATATGTCTGGCAATGCTCTAAACATTTCTCGTGCTCTTCTTGGCAGTCCAAACGAGCCTCGTACGGGGCATTTACGGCCTCTCGCAGCTCTTTTGCTACGGCGTGCTCCTGTATCTTTACATTAAGGCGAAAAACAACACGGAGCCTGGTGTAGTGACAGTGAAGGAAGTATTGGGCTTTGGACAGACAGGAGGCCGTGATGAGAAGATCACAGTGGCTGAGCACGACCAACGTATGGTCGTGAAGGACATCCAACGTGTACGTAAAGAGAAAGGAAGAGAGAGATGAAAAAGTGTTTGTGGCTTGAAATTATTCTAGACAGATAACACTTTGTCGAATCTTTTAATGCGCTCATAGTACGCTTTAGGTACCGCAATGACTGTGTTGGTGCACTGGAAGTGGGGCTTCTTCCCACCACTTGTGATTCAGGCTATCACGCAGCCTTTCAACCTATTCCAGTCACCGGTTGTCAAGGTGACGCTGCTTAAAGAAAAAGCTTGGGGTGATCTACGTCGCCCGTGGACGGATCGCAATGATATGAGCAAGTCCATTAGCTCGTGGAACAACACTATCATGTCAGCGCTCGGCGAAGCACCCGTTAAGGTCAACAAGAAGGTCAGTAAGAAGGCTGTCAAGCGCAAAAGTAAGTAGATATGGAGGCATATCATAAAGTCGTTGTAGATACGAAGTCAGAGACGTCGGACAGCTCGTACGGCACCTTGTTCACGTCTCTTTGCTGAACGCGACGCAGTATGAAACGCTTCAATAAAGCATTTGCAAAATATTTGCCTTGTATTTAAGCTCTTCGTTCTTAGGTTTCTTGGAGTCCTTCTTATATACTTCTTGCATTCATTGTTCTGCTATTGGCGTGAATAAGATATTAAATCGATTACTCTCAACCTATTTGCTACAAAATGAATAGATAAAATAGCAGCTTTATCCGCTCATCAAGAGCTTTTCTTTGACCCTGGCCTGGTTAAAAGCAAGTTGCCGATATCCTGAATGTCGCAGAAATTCGAGTAGGGACGGATGATATGGCTTTGGCCCATAAAGAGCTGTTTAAATGCTACAAGGACTATTGATGGGCGCTTCGAAAAGAAAACTGCTTCGTACACACCTTCAAGCAGCGTGAGGAAGGGTTATACCGTCTTACCTCCGCGTGCGGTGGTGGTGGTGTTGGTCGGCGCTTAAAGCGCAGCTTCAACTGTTGCCGGCCGCTTAAATTGGATACGCGTCACTTCAAAATCGTATCCTTATGTGCGAGCTTAAAGTATATCTAAGCTCGCTGATGACGTCTGTTTGAAGCGTCACCATGACGCCCAGTCCCACCTGAGCGTCATCCTCGTTGAATGTGAATCCATCCATGGATATCACATTCACGAGGGTGGGTCACATTGATGCGCCACACCCAAGTGGAAGGCCTAAGGTACTTCGTACCCATTTAGGCCTGCCCGTTAAGTAACATATGCTTAACGGACTCGTGTAGCTATTAGCCTGTCACACCATCACCATCTTTAAGACGATGTTTATTTTTTTGTAAAACACTGTAAGCAAGAAGATGGTACTGAAACGTGGTAAGGCTGATGGGTTTCCTGCAAGACGCCCATGCAGACCGACACATAGCGTACGCGCCGCAATAACTCGCAGCCGTAGCTAAGTGTCTCTGTGACAACGCCGACATCTGATGTCAGCTTGTCAGCGGAGAACAATGGTCCATCCAAAAATGGTGCGAATAAATACTTGTCTTTTATTGTTGGCTACAATGAGAGTACTCCATTGCCATCACCCAAAAGTGGTGATAAGCACAGTGGACATATGTACCTATCGATTAAGCCACGTAACCTTCAGGAAACTTCCATGCTTCTTGACAGTTGAGGGGTATGCCTTGTCGTCTGTTCCAACGAGCGCAGCGATCAATACTGAGAACGCTGCTTCGAAAGAAGCAGCCGCGGATCAACAGCAGGTCGGCGATTCGAAATAGTTCTCCTCTGTCAACCCTACGTCTGATGTCTTGACAATCCATAATGGAATTTCAGACTCAGACGAGGTTGAGCTATCAGCTCCTTCGACTTCACAGTCGGTCTCACTAGCACGCCGTCGCGAGGGCGGCTACGTGAGTGGTGGCTTACCACGAATGCCACCACCATCCGAGTAGTTACACTCAAGTGGTAATAGTGCGAAACTTCTAAAGAGTGCCACTATTGACGCTAATAAACTCTTTAGCGTCTTTTCATCATGGAAAAGGCAGGGCAAAGCACGAGGTCGTGCTTTCCTTATCCCCGTCGTGTTGCGTTCTAACAAAACAACCGACGAATACTAAGTAGAGTTTCTGTGCCGTGTAACACCGCATGTAGATGCAGTGAAACAGAGGTCGCAGCGAATCAGCTCCGCTATGACGCGTGAGAGGGGAACTCTTGGGTGGTAATATACCCCATTATTCTTATCGTCACGCTGCCTCTTCTAGTCCATCAGGACACAGCAAAGCAAGTGATGCTGGTGCTTCTGATCGTAAGCAGTCACCATCCCAGGCACGTCGACACACAACGCGTCAACTGGTTTCCAAAAGTCGACCTCTTCGGGTATCCTTTCCATTGGAAAAGGATATGAAGCTTTTGCTTCACATGGCGGTGGGCCATCAACCTTCCAACAAGGAAGCGTGTGTTCCCACCAGCATCCAAACGTCCGATAGGAGCGGCGATTACGCCCAACTACTCGCGGCTGCTTATCCTGCTGTCATTCAGTCGCAGGCAGAGATCGCTGCACTGAAGAAAGAGGTGGCGGATCTTTCGAGTCAAGTCTCGCGACTGACCTCGGATCTACGCGCTGTAAATTCGAGGGATCGTCAGGGGTACGACCGCCTGCAACTTCGTTTGAAAATGCATGAGCGACTAGCGATGGGAGACTCGCGTCAAACGCGGAGTCCTCCTATATCACCGAGCTCTCTGTCATCCCCCTCGTACACGAAAAGTCGTTCACCTTCCCCGTCGCCTGATCGGCACCGACGCTCGACTCACAGTCGACGTCACCATCGGTCTCGTTAGACTGATACAGATATGTGATCTCTTGTGGATCCACATACCGTTTCAGACGATGGGTTCACTCTCCCACCGTCTATGAAACGTACCCCGTATTTTACGTGGGTACGTTTCATATACGGTGGGAGAGTGAACCCATAATTTAGGTCTCCAACTTCTTCAACCACTGTAAAGGGCCCAATGAATCGGGGCAATAGCTTAGTAGTACCACCAGGTAGTAGAGAAATTGCATTTTTAAGTAGGGTAGCAGTACTTAATAGCACTTTGTCCCCAAAACTAGATTGTTCATTGTTCTTGCGATCATGTTTGTTCGCATATTGTTTTTGCTTGTCCTGTGCGTTTTGCCATAGCGTCACGAACTTTACGTATGATGGCTGATCGCTAATCCACGAAGCGCTGAGCTTCGCTCACGCTTTTAGCATCCAGCTCGCCTATGACGCCTCGAAGAGGTCGTTCACGGGTCGAAGCTGTTGACAACACTATAGTGTCATCATCAAGGAGCACAGTCATTTCTTGCCGTGCCTCCTTCCTGGCATCTATAGGTGTCGTGACCACTGCTAAATTAGCAGTGTCACAAGGGCAACCTTGGCCCTCGTTGGCATTTGCGCCGAGCGAAGTGAGGGGCCCTCCCCCACTAAGACTCGGGCCGCGTACAAACGAGACTGGCGTTCGAGGATGACGCAGTCCGTTAATGTAAAACGGTGTTTCACCCGTACTGGCGTGAACACTGTTATTAATAGCGAGCTCCACGAATGGCAATTACTTGCTCCATTCTTTGGGAGTCGCTACTGTACGCAACACATCCGCCACGACTCGATTGGCCCGTTCCGTTTGGCCATCGGTCTGGGGATGATCAGCGGTTGACATGTGGAGCTTGCTACCCAGCAGCTCAAACACATGTCGCCAAAAACCCGACGTAAAACGCGGATCCCGGTCCGATACTATGGACTCGGGCATCTTGTGTACTCGATACACATTATCCAGAAACAATAGCGTATTCTCTTTTCCTAAGATCTTGGTGCTACATGGTGCCAAATGCACCATCTTGCTCAGTCTGTCTACAACGACAAAGAGCCTCGTCCTGTCTTTATGGTCAGGCGGTAAGCCAAACATGACGTCCAAACTGACCGACTTCCAACATTCAGTTGGAATCGGCAATGGCATTAATGGCGTACTGCAATGGCCATCTATATTCGCTCTTGTGAAGAGTGCGCTGACACTCTTCACAAGAGCGAACATAGTTGGCCATTCGACGATATAGGTGGGGCCACCAAAATTCCTCTGACACTTGTAAGAATGCCTTTGCACGGCCCAGATGCCCACTAGATGGCGCATCATGGCACTCGTGAAGTATCATCATCTTGAGATCTGTGTCATGAGGGACATAGATTCTCAAGGGATCACAGGGTGACAGTTGATGCCATGATAGGCCATCACTGTTACTGAAGCGATTAAGCTTCGCTTTGAGGTGCGACGGAAGGGTAACCTTTCGTCCACCAAAATGATCCAACAGCAGGCGACAATTTTCGTCCTGAGTGTAACATTCCTTGATATCGGAGGCCATTGAGCTCGTCACATGGTAGGCCTTCATGGCTGCGAATATTGACGACTCAACTTGTGCATTCGCACGAAACACACTTTCCAGGTGTCTTGCCTCGAAGTCTGGTCGGCGCGATAACGCGTCAGCCAAGACATTCGACTTACCCAGCTTATATTCAACTTTCAAATTAAATTCAGAGAAGAATGTTAGCCATTTCGCCATTCTCGGCGAGAGGTGCGGTGAATTTATAGCGGTCCGCAGTGATGCGTGATCCGTATAAATCACAAAAGGTTCGGTGCCCAAGAGGTGCACCCGAAACTTTACAAGGGCATGCTTAATTGAAAGTAGCTCCTTGTCATGCACAGGGTAATTCAGCTCGGCAGTTTTTAAAAGCCGAGACTGATAAGAAATGACACGGTCAACGCCGTTGTCATCCTTCTGCATGAGCGCGCTGCCGATTGCAAAATTTCTTGCATGGCAGACGACACTAAAGGGCTTATCCCCGTCTGGCAATGCCAAAACCGGTGCCTCTACAAGAGATGGCTTCACTGATGTGAACGCATCTACTTGATCCTTTGACCAAGTCCATTCTGCATCCTTTTTCAAAAGGTCAGACAATGGCATAGCATACCGCTTGGGATTATTACTGCCGTTTTCGATACATCCGTAAATCTCATGAGAACCTGATAGTAGCCATCATTCAGATCCAACGCGGAAAAGATAGCTGACTTTCCCATGGAATTCAACAAGACATCTTTCTGCGGGATCGGCGTTTGCGTCGGAATGGTGGCTGTGTTCAGCTTATTATAAGCATGAGCCATCCGCCATCCACCTGTTTCTTTACGCACACAGAAGGTCGGGCTGCAGTGAGGCGACTTGCTCTTACGTACATTTCCCGCCTTGGCGCTTGTCGAAGAATTCATCGATGAAAACGACTTGTTCCTTCGGCAACGGCCATTGCCTGGTCACACAATACTTGGTGCCAGGCTCCAGGTCAATTTCGTGCCTGATGCCCCTATTGGCTGGCAGGCGGCTCGGCACTTCTGCTGAAAACACATAATGATATTTACACAGAACATCATAGAACGGGCTGTCCTTCAAGGCATCCCAGCCTTGAGCAACATACCGTTTTCTTCTTGTCGGTTTCCAAGACGCTCTCGTTCATTGTGGACGACGAGCAACTGTCCACCACGTTCTCTTCTGAAACTGGTGCGAGTATCTCGTGGATCTTTCCTTCCTTTAGTTCGGACAGGAACAGATCCCACGTCATCTCCGAGAGATTTACTATCTCCTCGGCAGATGCCAAGACAAGTTGGAGCACCTCAACTGAGGATGCCTCCAGAATTTTGTCTTCGACGGCCTCGAACAACTCGCTCGTAGGTCCTTCCTCTTGTACCGAGACTGATCCAAGGGTCACTCGTTTCGACGTGATCTTGATCGTCTTAATACGTCTAGTGCTCGTTCTTCGAGTCACCACGACTTTTGACCTGGAAGAAGGTGTCGTTGCTGCCTCAGCTAACGCACTTCTTCCAACCGCACCAGGCTCTTGGCTCTGTGCCAGTTCTTGTGGCGATTGACTTCTTGTCAGCCCACCATAAACTGCCACAGGCTCTCGGCTCTGTGCAGGACTATTGGACGCATGACTACCTGTCATCGCCCCATTCACTACACCAGTCTTTTCGACCTGGGTAGGAATATGTGTCACCTTGCTTTCCGCCAGTGTACTTCCAACTACACCACTCCTTTCGATCTGGGTAGTTCCTGGTGTCGATTGATATATCGTCATTGCACCCTCGACTGTGTTGGACACAGCATCAATCGCATAAGTCTCTCGCAAGAGCACATCCTTTCCGGTGTCCTAGGTAGAGCTAGCGACTATTCGTGTACGCCAGTCTATCCATTTTTGGTGTTTAGCCAACCAAGGCATGCCTTGGATGAGGTCATACGGACTCTCCATACCTAGCACTGTGAACTTCTCTTTACAAGAGAAGTCACTGAAACTGAAGCCGAGTTCAACTTGAACTCCCTCCGATTTGACGAGCGCGCCGTTCGCTAAACGAACGATCGCCTCTTCTCGCTTGTCATCCTGGCAAAGCGACTCATAACTAGCCGGTCTCTTTTTCAGAACCGCGAGTTTTGCAAAGCTTTGTGATGCACCCGAATCCACGAGAAGGGTCATCACTTGGTCATAGCCTCGTAATCGAACGCTATAGACCAACAGGGTTGAGGTTCGACCTTTCGGAACCTCAGGGACTATGCGACCCATTTGTTCGATCACTCTGAACTTAGGGGTAGCTTCAGAGTCCGCGACAGTAGGGCATCCCGCCCCTACTGCGCTCCCGCATTTCCCGACCCATCTTGGGCAGGATCTGAACCCTTACGACGTGCACATTAGTTTTCGCACCTCCCTTCGGGTTGAGAGACCTTTTGCTGGCTGCCTTAGCACCAGCAGCTACTTTGGCATATCAGCGAGCCATCATATGGCCTCGCTTGCCGCGCTTGTAGAAGATCACATCTGCATTGCCTAACTCCATAGGAGTGGCATCAGACTTCTCGGACTACGGCCTGTAATAGGCTGTCGCCGAGGCGCTTTTGTAGGATTGCTCCTCAACTATGGCAATGTCAATTGCCTCTTCCATCGTCGCTGGCACTTTTATAAAAAGGGGCTGACGCGATGGGCCGTGCCTACGTCCATTCATGAACGTGGCCACCTTGATACGTTCTGGTATCGGCTCCCCATTAATGGACACCGACAGCGAACGCATCTCCTGCACAAACTCTTGCAGAGAGTGTTTCGCCTGTCGTGCTTCAGAGAAGTGCGCCATAAGCAACACTTCGTTGTTAGGCGGCTGATACATGGCGCGAATCTTTGTTTTAAAAATCGCCCATGATGGAAATGCATCAGCATTAGCCATCAGCGCAGAGTATGCCCACTCTGACGCTTTGCCACGCAAGTTGTACATGGTATACAACACCATTCTGGTGTCATCTTCGATGAGCTGCGCCACTCCACATTGCTCAACTGCTAATAGCCAGTGAAAAATCGTGTGAGGGTTAGTTCCATCGACCTTCGGAGGGTCCATCCGAATGGGCCTCGGTTGAGCAGGCCGGGCAGAGAGCGTATCAGCAGTTCTGTTGAGCGCCTCATTACGTGCTTGCTCAAGCCTAAGCTCATCCTGAGTCTTATCGATGAACTCAGCCGTAGCTTGGCTGTTTACCTCGGACGCGTTTCTACGCTGTCCGAGCACAAACGCCTCAAATTGCTCCAACTGAGCAACATGTTGCTCAGGAGGACAATGCAAGAGATTGACCAGGGCTTTTCACCAAGTCCCTGCGCCATATGCTCTGCCAACTCCCTATGATGTTGGGAGAGGTGAAGGAAGTCACTCCAGTCCATATTAAAGACTATCTTAACCACAAGCACGCTCAGAGAGACGGGTCGTGGGAAGGACTACTAGTGCTACCAAGTGTAGACGGGCACTTCTACGAAGTTGCCTCGTGCTACTTAGCACACACCTTCAGCACAAGCATCCGACCCTTTTACATATATAGCCAACCAGTAGTTAAGTTTATATTTAGTTATAATTCATTAAATATAGCTCAGTCTTAAATTTACTAAATCGAAAGTACTGCGCACGAGAAGCTGAAAAAGCTTCTGCGTGACCTCGGTGGCTTGTTGTTTAGAAATTCGTTGCACTCTCGCTTAAGCGAGAGGCAACTGGTGGTACGACTGCTTACGTAGTCGACCAACCACACAACCACCCTCGCACGTGAAGGTAAGATGGTCTAACCGCTTCCTCGCGCGACTCTTTAGAAGCGTATCCTGTCACATGAACTTAAATCTAGATTTAAAATCGCAACTGACGTCCTTCTGAGACGTCGCGATGCCTAGCTTCAACTAGCGTCATCCCTTCCCATGTGAATCTATCAATGGATATCACATTCACGAGGGTGGATCACATTTGTGTATCGCACCCAAGTGACAGGTCAAAAGTAATCATAAATACTTTTAGACCAAACATTAAGTATATTAATTAATGTTTGCGTGTAACTAGATGCCCTGTTACACACAATACACCGACTTTCATACTTATCAATAAACCTAAGTTAACTCAAAGCTTAAGGAAAGTAATAGATCGGTATACTGTCAGCGTAAAGTTTGTGCTACATGTTCGTTGGAACAACGGGTGAACACCCTTGCAGCAGAACTCCATATAGATAGGCGCATTTTGCACTAATAAAGCAATCAGATCTCCGTAACATATGTCAAATCAAAAAGCTGCACAGGCTGTTGACCAGCATTCAATCCCTTATATATAACTAGCTCTGAATTTATAATCCGCGCGATCCTTTCCGTCAAAACGACGGTTGAACACCCTAGTTGATTATATAATATAACCAATTCCAGTCTCCCACATTCCATATTTCTACCGAATACTCACCATAAACTCTAATATGTCTATCAAGTCTAGCGTATACCCGAAGGCGCTGGTTGTCGCGCTGCTTGTATCTTTAACTACGAGCGTGATCAGCGCAGAAACAACACCTAAGGGCGTCGTGCGCAGCTCGGGCGCTTTACCTACGCTGAATGCGGCTTATACCCCGGTTTCGATCGAGCAGTACTCAAGGTCAAGTGGAGCCATAACAACAAATGACGACACCAAGATTTTTGGAGAGAGGAAAACCCCTTCAGGAACTGCTACTATTCTAGAGCGACGTCTGCAAGGTATCGGCGCAGAACTTCAAGAGGAGTTGTCGCGTTTGAAGCAAGACTTGTTGAAACCTGACTCGGTGATAGCCAATCTACTTGATAGCTTTTTCTATACCAAGTGGAAAGCCGTCATTAGGGGAAAGCATCCGGAATCTTCAGAAGCATTACAGTCCTTGTACTTGACCTTGTCACATCATTTCGGTGATGATGCTGCACTGGCCGAAGCTTTCGTTGCAGTAAAAAAAATCGGAAGACCCTGCAAGTTATGCCGCTGTAAAAGTGTTACATGCCCAGGTCCAGTGGTGGATAAAAGAAAAGAAAACCACAGACGAAGCTTTCACGCTTTTGAAGCTCGACCAAACAAATGGCAACCCATTTGCAAGTCCAATCTTTTCGCAGTGGAAAGCTTTCATCACTTCCAAAAATTTAGAGAACCCGGAACCTGAAGAAGCGGCAACTCGCGAAATGTTCGACTGCTTGTCAAGTCATTACAAGGACGACGTTGTTCTGATAAAGATTCTTGATGCAGAATATAAACTCGACAGTGCATTGAGTGATACTGCCAAGGATCTGCTTGATTTTCAGATCCAGAAGTGGAAAAACGATGGCAAAACGGAGGAAGATGTTTTTACGCTATTGATGCTCGACCAAACAGATGTTAAGCAACTACTTGCAAGCTCAGCCTTCGATCAATGGCTTAAATTTGTCACAGATAGCAGCCCAGAAGTCGAAAACAGAAAAAAAGCAGAATATGTATCAAACGCTTTGATGTGTCATTTCGATGACGAAGCTGCTGTGACCGAGGCTCTAGTGGCAGGGACAAAAATCGACTCTACGCGTTCTCTTACTTCCAGTCTGCTAAAAAAACAAATCGAAGAGTGGCGTAACAAAGGAAAAAAGCCGGAAGATGTTTTCACGCTATTGAAGCTCGACAGAAGAGCTGATAACAACCCATTTTTAAGTCCAGCCTTTTCCATATGGTTCGACTTCATCAGTTTGAACAACCCAGAACCCATGGAAGCGGCAATTGGCGTGATGATTAAGACTATGTCAAGCCATTACAAGGACGATGTCCTTGTCAAGGTTCTCGTTGTGCAGGATTGGAAAGCAATTCTATTATCGCTGACCATCTGCTAGAATTTCAGCTCCTCGAGTGGGAAAACGATGGTAAAACTGCCGAACAAGTTTCCACACTTTTGAAGCTTGACGAGTCAAGTCCTGATTTTGATATGATTGGGCTCGAAATGGTTTGGGTAGAATATGTTTACGTCCTCATACGAAGCAACCCGGATCTCTCCAACGTTCTCATGACAGATGCCACAATGGCACGAATTGCAAAAATACTGGATAGCGCACCCGCGGACGACATGACATTGTCAGGAGTACGGGTGCAGGAGTTGCGAGATGAACAATATACGCAGTGGATTCAGGGTGATATCACGCTGGAGAACGCCAAAGTAATGCTCTTGAAAGAAGGTGTGGACGAAAAGCTGATCAAGACAATTAGGAGCGGTTACGCCAACTTTTTACGTGAAACGCGTTATGAAGACCCACTACCTCGACTTAGACGAGTATGAGAGCAATTGAAGGAAAAAGAGTTGGTATAATGCATAATGAATTGCAACTCAATCTTCCTGTCCATAATTTCATTGTGTGAAGTTAAATGCGATTACTGCACGATCCCAAAACAATTTTCTTTTCTAGGGAAAGTAAATACTTTTACAAAGCGTGTTCAGCGATGCGTCGCCGAGCCTAAAGCTTTGCGAAACGAACTGGTCAGTCTAAATTTGTGCAGACCAAAATGCATTTCAATTTTGTTAAACGCAACAGGGAACGAAGAATAAATCGTCGAGTAGCGTTTTGAAAAAAGCAATAAGTGTGACGCGGCCAAGACTTGCTCATTCGTGTTCGTTTGTGAAAAAATGGAACTAAGCTCACAAGCATTTAGCTTGAATTCCCGCGTACTACACAGTCCATAATTTTAAGCGCAAAGACTTATCGAACTGTATAACATCAGTGTTGCTAACACAATCAAACAACAGCCACGAGGTCGGGTGAATTAGCGATGATATAAAATTCTGGACTACGGTTTGAAGCATTTGTGTCGGTAGCTTCGTTAAAAGGCTACCGACACAAATCACTGAAACGCCGAGTTCTCCAAAACGATACTGATCAAAATTACTTATGCCTTACACACGCCATGTCCGATTACTGTTATCAGTAGGAGTAGCAAGTGACATTGAAATTACTAGCTTAACGTGTAAGTTTTCTGCTAGTTGCTGTTTGCGCTATTTCGTATTAGTAAGGAATATTGCAGCAGGCTCATCGACGGAGGCACTGCTACAGAACGGCTATGCACTGCATTGTCAATCCTATAACAGCCGATTATACACTGCTGGAACCTGTAACGGAGTTACACGATGACTGTAACATCATACTACGGTTGAAGTTTCTATATTGCATGTAATGAATTCTTTATACCGATCCTTTCAAAAATGAGATATTATAGATGAGTGATATTATAAGGTATCAGTTTTAATACTGATACAGTAGTACTAAGTACAACATACATTGATGATTGAATGATTCCATATCCAGATACGAACGATGGCATACTGTAATTACTGAATATTAATTTTAATTAGTGTAGAGTACTTGAAGAAGGATATTCATAGATCCTAATGCATAAAAAAATCAGTTCTCATTCTGAGTCGTAGAGTTAAAGCCGGTAATGGCTTGTTTCTCTTGTGCACTTCGTGCGTTAGTTCCTCGAATCTTCAAGCTCCTAGCTTGTTCTTTCACTCTGTGTGGTGGCTCTCAGAACCCCTAGGCTTATTGCTGGTAGACTAAAAGTTCCTCCCAGATTCGTAGAACCGGTAAACTTTGAGCCGTTTACTTAGTTCCGTAGAACGAAGTGGCTTTTAGTCGCAATTTATTATGTTTTAAAGCTAAATGGCTTCTTGTAACTGGCTAATAGTTACACGAGTCCGTTAAGTATATGTTACTTAACAGGCAGGCCTAAATGGGTACGAGGCACCTACTTGGGTGTGGCGCTTCAATGTGACCCACCCTCGTGAATGTGAATCCATTCATGGATGGATTCACATTCAACGAGGATGACGCCCAGGTGGGACTGAGCGTCATGGTGACGCTTCAGACAGACGTCATCAGCGAGCTTATATATACTTTAAGCTCGCACGTAAGGATACGATTTTGAAGTGACGCGTATCCAATCTTTGCATAATTAACCAATCAGTAGTTAGATATACATTTAGTTAAAATCTATGAAAAGTAAATTAGTCTTGAAAATACTACATCCCACTCACTGCGCACGAGAAGACTGGAAACCACTTCCGTGACGCAGGTAGGTGCCTGTTCATAAGCTCGATGCGCGGATCTCTTTTAGCGGCCGGCAACAGTTGAAGCTGCGCTTTAAGCACCGACCAACACCACCACCAACGCACGCGGAGGTAAGACGGTATAACCCTTCCTCACGCTGCTTGAAGGTGTGTGCCCGCGTAGTACGTGGCAGCTTCTTTTAAAAGCGCCCGTCTTGATTAAGCGACGGGGTCTATGTTCGTTGTCGGCTGACTTGGCACCACGTGTTTACGGAATGAGGACCGGAAATTTGGGCGTACATTGTCGGATACTTTAACAAAAAACATTACAGTAAAGTGAAGTTCATCAACATAAAATTTTGTACGACAAGTTGCAGAGCGCTCGTTTCCAGTCTGGCTTGTATATGGAAGGACGTCTGGTTTATATGTTTAACCTACAAAAGCACCTTGTTACACTTGGTGCTACGGGTAATTATCACTAGATGAATCGACTTGTAATGAATTGTCTACCGCATACAAATCGCTTTCACATGCTTAAAATTCAAGTTATGGTGGCCTAAAATTTACGTGATACGCCATGGAAGCTCCAGGACGCAATTTTCATTCTTGACTGTGCTCAGCGTACAGAGTCTGTGACTACTAATGGCGGCGGTGATACTAACAAGCCGGATTGCAAGCAGAAAAGGACTTTCGAGAAATTACAAAAGAGTAATAGGATGCAGAAAGGACGAAGGTGTATCATCTGCAACGAGGCTGGGAATCTGCGTAGACATTTACGCAGAGAGAGGAGAATTCCGAGCCAAAAAGCAACGGATCTTCCACTGGCATGAAGCATGAAGCAAGAAAATGTAAAGCAAATTGAACTATGCTGGACTGTCAAGAGAATGTATTTTCTACCCGATGTACTAAAAAATCAAAAAAAGCTTAGCTAGCTTAGTTAGCAGGAGCATTGGCGAAGACAGAGCTGCAAGCTACTGAAAGTTTATCTGAAGATCAAGATTAAACAGTACCAACTGAAGAGAGGTAAAAGAACAGACACCTGCGCGGTATTTTGACAGTGATACAACACTCGCGTCGGATGTGACTATTCTATGTTTACCAATACGAAAAGTTTGGTCGCGTTAAGCAGCGAAATATATCTGTTTCGCCTACAGTTTTTGACAAAACCAAAAGTTATCGGTTTCGTGAAGCTTAAGACAAGAGTTAGTGACGACATTTATAGAAAGAAGCTGAATGATTATTTATACGTCGATGGAGAGCAGCTTAATCTCGTCACGCATTTTCAGCTCGAAAATTGAAGTGAGATATCGACGTACAGAGAAGGTGTAGACAATCACTCGAAAGAAGCTGCCATTAACTACGCAAATACACACCTTCGAGCAGCATAAGAATGCGGGTAGACCGCCTTACCTCCGCGTGCGGTGGTGGTGGTGTTGGTCGGCGCTTAAAGCGCAGCTTCAACTGTTGCCGGCCGCTTAAATTGGATACGCGTCACTTCAAAATCGTATCCTTATGTGCGAGCTTAAAGTATATCTAAGCTCGCTGATGACGTCTGTTTGAAGCGTCACCATGACGCCCAGTCCCACCTGAGCGTCATCCTCGTTGAATGTGAATCCATCCATGAATGGATTCACATTCACGAGGGTGGGTCACATTGATGCGCCACACCCAAGTGGAAGGCCTAAGGTACTTCGTACCCATTTAGGCCTGCCCGTTAAGTAACATATACTTAACGGACTCGTGTAGCTATTAGCCTGTCACACCATCACCATCTTTAAGACGATGTTTACTTTTTTGTAAAACACCGTAAGCAAGAAGATACCACTGAAACGTGGTAAGGCTAATGGGTTTCCTGCAAGACGCCCATGCAGACCGAGACATAGCGTACGCGCCGCAATAACTCGCAGCCGTAGCTAAGTGTCTCTGTGACAACGCCGACATCTGATGTCAGCTTGTCAGCGGAGAACAATGGTCCATCCAAAAATGGTGCGAATAAATACTTGTCTTTTATTGTTGGCTACAATGAGAGTACTCCATTGCCATCACCCAAAAGTGGTGATAAGCACAGTGGACATATGTACCTATCGATTAAGCCACGTAACCTTCAGGAAACTTCCATGCTTCTTGACAGTTGAGGGGTATGCCTCGTCGTCTGTTCCAACGAGCGCAGCGATCAATACTGAGAACGCTGCTTCGAAAGAAGCAGCCGCGGATCAACAGCAGGTCGGCGATTCGAAATAGTTCTCCTCTGTCAACCCTACGTCTGATGTCTTGACAATCCATAATGGAATTTCAGACTCAGACGAGGTTGAGCTATCAGCTCCTTCGACTTCACATTCGGTCTCACTAGCACGCCGTCGCGAGGGCGGCTACGTGAGTGGTGGCTTACCACGAATGCCACCACCATCCGAGTAGTTACACTCAAGTGGTAATAGTGCGAAACTTCTAAAGAGTGCCACTATTGACGCTAATAAACTCTTTAGCGTCTTTTCATCATGGAAAAGGCAGGGCAAAGCACGAGGTCGTGCTTTCCTTATCCCCGTCGTGTTGCGTTCTAACAAAACAACCGACGAATACTAAGTAGAGTTTCTGTGCCGTGTAACACCGCATGTAGATGCAGTGAAACAGAGGTCGCAGCGAATCAGCTCCGCTATGACGCGTGAGAGGGGAACTCTTGGGTGGTAATATACCCCATTATTCTTATCGTCACGCTGCCTCTTCTAGTCCATCAGGACACAGCAAAGCAAGTGATGCTGGTGCTTCTGATCGTAAGCAGTCACCATCCCAGGCACGTCGACACACAACGTGTCAACTGGTTTCCAAAAGTCGACCTCTTCGGGTATCCTTTCCATTGGAAAAGGATATGAAGCTTTTGCTTCACATGGCGGTGGGCCATCAACCTTCCAACAAGGAAGCGTGTGTTCCCACCAGCATCCAAACGTCCGATAGGAGCGGCGATTACGCCCAACTACTCGCGGCTGCTTATCCTGCTGTCATTCAGTCGCAGGCAGAGATCGCTGCACTGAAGAAAGAGGTGGCGGATCTTTCGAGTCAAGTCTCGCGACTGACCTCGGATCTACGCGCTGTAAATTCGAGGGATCGTCAGGGGTACGACCGCCTGCAACTTCGTTTGAAAATGCATGAGCGACTAGCGATGGGAGACTCGCGTCAAACGCGGAGTCCTCCTATATCACCGAGCTCTCTGTCATCCCCCTCGTACACGAAAAGTCGTTCACCTT